TCCCGCAGGAAGGGGGTCCCTGAAGAGTGTTTGAAGTTGACCCTGTTAGCTAGCGTCCCTGTCGTATGCACACTGTTCAGCTTCTCATCATAATCAGATATTTTCACAGCAACCGTTAGACTGATTGCAGCTGCAGCATTGGTAGTCACTACCCAGTCTAAATGTGACCTTAACTACTGGGGGTGTTTCAGGTTGCCTTCGCTGGAAGAGAAACAGCAAAGACCTTTTTTCTTAACATTTGCAAACGTGTGAGCTCTCTAATGGGAGAGCTTAAGAAAAGGTGGATCTAATCATAATTCCTTTTCTCTAACCCAAATTAGCCCTCGTCAACCTAACCCTTTTTCACGTACAGAGCCTCTGTAATGCAACAACACAGGTTTTCAGCAGCCAAGGAGAGGTCCGGACCTCTACCACCACATCAGCATCAAGAAACGCTCAAAGCCGCCATTTCTGCTTAGGGTGCAAATTTTGATTAATTTCTTTTTTAATATATCCAACTTTTCCTCTCCTGCAGGCCAGTAATCCTGTATGCAGGTTTAGTATTGGCCAAGTTTTTTGTTGATGCCCCTTCAGATTACAGACTAAATTCCAACTATTACCCCCTTTCTACAATTAATAGAGAGAAAAGGGCTTCAGCTCATAACATGTCAGTGCTTAACTCCAATTTTGCATACTTGTTCTTGCACTGACCCCCATAGTAACCCTCTGCTAACAGACATAAGGATGACAGTACAGGTGAAGAAACATTTTCAATAATTGAGGCCTAGTTAGTCAGTTAGTAGGAGTTTCTGGTGTGATGTCACTTTTCCACTTCTCCCTGGTGTTGATAAAGCGTGCCTTGTGTTTTTGTCTGCACTATTCAGGTCGCCCTCTCCTGAGCCGATCTACAACAGCGAGGGCAAGAGGCTAAACACCCGAGAATATCGGACACGCAAGAAGATCGAAGAGGAGCGCCACTCCCTCATCACTGAGATGCTGGCACTGAACCCTGAATTCAAACCACCTGCTGATTACAAGTATGACTCCGTTTCTAATGGATGCTTTTATTCTTGGATCTTAAAAAAAGTGAACAAAATGATATAAACTGATTTCTGATTCCTGTACATTTTTCTTAATGTTGTCATTTTGCTGTTTGTATTTCAGGCCTCCTGCCACCAGAGTCAGTGACAAAGTTATGATTCCTCAAGATGAATACCCAGAAATCAACTTTGTAGGGCTGCTTATTGGCCCACGGTGAGTTACCCCAATGACCCCCTTAATTAGGATTTTTTTTTTTTTTTTTTTAAGAACTGGGAAAAAATTACCACTTAAAATTTTCTGAACAGAGGTAACACATTAAAAAACATTGAGAAGGAGTGTTGTGCCAAGATTATGATCCGTGGGAAAGGCTCTGTTAAGGAGGGGAAGGTTGGCAGAAAAGACGGGCAGATGCTGCCAGGGGAAGATGAGCCTCTTCATGCTCTGGTCACTGCCAACACCATGGAGAATGTCAAGAAGGCAGTAGAGCAGGTGAACATTAATCCTCTTTTATTCTTTGTGCTTATCATGCTCATACAGTCCCTTAAAATGATTAGTGCTCTTTTATTTGACAGATCCGCAACATTCTCAAACAAGGCATTGAAACTCCAGAAGATCAGAATGATCTGCGGAAGATGCAGCTCAGAGAGCTAGCTAGACTTAATGGTACATTGCGGGAAGATGACAACAGGTTGGTCTTCTATATTCACTTGTGAGACTAAAAGCTTTTACGGTCAATCAAATAGTAAGACATTTTTCCTTAGGATTCTTCGCCCATGGCAGAATGCGGAGCCCCGAAGCATCACAAATACTACCTTGTGTACCAAATGTGGTGGAGCGGGCCACATCTCCTCTGACTGTAAATATTCCAGGTACTGAGCACTGGCATTACAATTAGCACTTTGAGCGTATTTAACTCTACTTAAGGTGTAATATCTGCTTCTATTCTGTCCAGCACTTTTGCTGCTCACAGGGCCACTGGAGGAGAGCCACCCCAGTCCGCCCAGGACAAAGCTCGCATGGATAAAGAATACCTGTCCCTAATGGCTGAACTAGGAGAAGCTCCTGTCCCCTCATCTGGAGGAGGACACACCAGTCCCCCAGGGGGTGCACCTCGGCCTGCAGGACCCAATAACAATCAGGCTCCTCCAGTACACTCCTTTTTTTTTTCTCATTTTTTTGCAGCTATGTTTCACATCTTGTATGAGCACATCACTAACACTTGTGTGTGGTTCTGTAGAACCGGCCACCGTGGATGAACTCTGGACCAGGTGAGAACAGGAACTTCCATGGCATGCCTGGGGGACCTGGTGGACCACACAACTTTCCTCCTCCCATGTCCAACATGGGAGGCCCTCCTATGCCTCCAAACCCCAATGGAATGCCTCCCCCGTGGATGCAGCCACCCCCTCCTCCGATGGGCCATGGCCCAGGTCCTCATGGACATCCTATGGGTGAGTGAGTCTTTATAATTTTAGTTTTAAAGGGCCCATACTAAACTGTTTTCTGATTTGTTACATTCCTCAAGAACATACCTGGAGTTGTTTTGTTTATTCACACGTTTAACACACAGACCCTACATATTTGGGCTGAGTTCTTCTCTTAAACAACACTCTGCAACACCTTGTGATGTCATGAGGTAATACAGAAAGTGTTCCACTGTGTTTTTGAACTCCATACACATTCACTAGAATCATTTGGGTGAGATCAGTTCTGGAATTGCCAGTCTCTATTGAATTTAAGGTGTAAGGAGCTGTTAACTTGAAAACTACCATTACATGACATCACAAGGTGGAACAGAACATTTCAGCTTTGGAAATGTAGATAAACTAATAATAAAAGCTTACTCAAACGTGTGAATGAAAGAAAACACAACTCCAGGTATGTTTTGATGAGGTAACAACATAACATCGGTAAAAGCACTTTTGTGTAATATTTTCATGAAAGTTAAAGTGCCCAACTTAAATCCACGTGACTCTTTGTAGGTTTACTCCCTCCACCAATGGGCATGATGCCACCTCCACCTCCTCCCCCTGGCAATCAGCCGCCTCCTCCCCCGTCAGGACCTCTTCCACCATGGCAGCAGCAAGCTCCACCTCCACCTCCCACCAGCAGCATGGCTACCAGCACACCAATGCCCTGGCAACAGAGTGAGTACACAAAAGCTGTGTTAATGCCTTTCACCCTCGGCATATAGAATAGCCTTACCACTATAGTAACCACTGTAGAAGTGTTTGGTATAGGCTAACTGTGTATTTAGTCAGGCATGAGAGATCTTGTGTGAAATGAACAAGACCATAAACTACTAAGGTGTTAACCTGCGTTTGTAACCCTTTACAGACACCACCACCACGTCCAGCCCTGGCACAGGCAGTCTGCCGCCATGGCAACAACCCCAGCAACCTGCAGCCTCTGGAGCCCAGCCTCCACCCCCCATGGGAAGTAGCTCCATGGTCCCACCCCCTCCTGGAGTCCAGCCTCCACTGCCCCCAGGTGCACCACCTCCTCCCCCTCCACCTCCTCCAGGCTCTTCTGGCATGATGTATGCCCCTCCACCTCCACCACCACCCATGGACCCTAACTTTGTAACCATGATGGGGATGGGTGTACCAGGCATGCCTCCATTTGGTATGCCCCCTGCACCTCCTCCACCTCCGCCCCAGAGTTAAACCTGTCACTGTAAAGTCATTCAACTGCACCATGTTGTTCAGCAGTTCCTCAATAGACTGTGATTGAAGAGCTTTGTATCTGCTCACACCATCATTAACAGTGCTTTATTTTTATTCAACCTTAATATTGTGAATACGTATCATATTGATGTAGATACAAATCTGACAGGCCTTGAATACATGTTCTGTAATGCTAACGCGCTAAACTTTTGCAATGTAATTATCCACATTGATTGGATTCACTTATAACCAGAAAGAACATGCATGAGGAACTCCTGTCATAATTCTGTATTCCCCTCATTGTTGGCTTTGATTTAACTAAGATTAATATTTTTGTAAAAGGAGTGTGAATTGTACTTTAGTTCTGTTCTATCAAAACTCTTTAGCAGTAATGTCCTGTTTTTCAAAAAGCTTGCATTGGTTTTTAATGTGTTTTTTTTTTCTTTTGACTATTGCAGCAAGTGTGAAAGTGATACTTGGTTACACACATATGTACGCCAAGGCTCCAGCTACAATAACAATGTTTGACCTTTTCTGTATTTCTCTGGACAGAATTTGAGAAGCTGTGTGCTGTGTCTATGTAGCTTCTCTAAGGACTGTCAAATGTTTTATTAATGTTACTACACATGGTCTTTACTATGAGGCTATAAATTAGTATCTGATAATCTTGCTTGGTTAGTATTAAATCATTCAGTTCAAATTATGTTGAGCTGTGTTTTTATTGGCCTGACTAGTGGATGCGCACTGCAGGGTTCCCCATTGACTATAAAGACTTCAACTGGATTTGGACACTGTGTTCTTGGCAGTATCATCATATGTTGTGGAGCGACGGCGTCTGCCTTTTGATTAAAAGAATTATACACACTGAGTTTGCGACATTGCTGATTCCTTAATCCGATTTACTAAATGATATCCCTGCCTAAATGAGCACTTTTTGCTGTATCATGGCTACATTGCCGCACCTACATGAATACTCCATACTTTCCTTTATGCCCATGCTCCGCACCATCCGCACCTTCCGCACATGTATGATCCGCACACACCCCCTTTAAGCGGAACTCTGGAAGATTTACTGCATTCAAAATAATAATAATAAAAAAACAAGTCCTAAAAACGGGTTACCTGCAGTTAATGCCGAGCCAACTAACAGGCATACTTAAAAGCCATGGTAATTAAACAACTTATCAACACCTGCAGCGATAAAAGTGCGTAGAAATTGGTTGGATAAAGACGCGTTTTAATTTTACCGGAAGTCAGAGGTGTGACTCTTCTCACGCTTGACCGTTGCTACGTGACTTAAAAGAGGCAGGACGGCCCATCCCACCGGCCGCAGCACAAGAGCGACAGGGAAGAGGGAAGAGGCAGCAGACTCCAGCTCCAGCGCCAAGTCCAGGTCCAGGTGAAGTACCGTAGTTTCTGCGGGTGTCCATCAGTCTCAGCATGGCCAAGCCGCTCACCGACCACGACAAGAGAAAGCAGATTTCTGTCCGCGGCCTGGCGGGAGTAGAAAATGTTGCTGACCTGAAAACTAATTTCAACCGACACCTCCATTTTACCCTGGTGAAGGACCGAAATGTCGCCACCAAAAGAGACTACTACTTTGCCTTGGCCAACACGGTCCGGGACCACCTGGTGGGCCGCTGGATCCGGACCCAGCAGCATTACTACGAGAAGGACCCCAAAGTAAGCGCCGATGCCGCAGTCCAGGACATGAGTCTGGGACTTGTACACACACACACGCACACACATGCACACACACGCGCACAGCTGAGCAGGGCACGCGGGGGATGTGGGCATTACTGCAGTATCATAGCTCGTTCACGCGCACACAGAGTGCGTGTGCGACGCCCCACTGTCTCGGGGACTTGTGATATCCTTTTATAGTAATAATAGAGCTGCGGTCGTGTGCGCTGACAGTGCAGCGTGTGAACTTGAGGGATTCCGGTCGGTCCAGTCTCCGGTTCTGACTGGCTGCCAGTTACGTAACATCCGTACATCCGCATCTCTAACCTTGATCTATCCCTCTGTGAATGACGCTACTCCAGGCTGCACGTGAAAATGTTGAGCCTACGTTCATCACAAACTTGTAGTCCTCACATCTCAAAGACTCAACTGGTTGTTAAAATGGTCCTTACGTAACTACCGGAGTACGTGCCCTGCATCCCCACTGAGCCAGTGCACAGAGTGCATCACAAAATGGCCACATGGTTAAGCCACATTAAGCTACTTCCCCTGTCTGGATCTCCCTACTGTAATCCTTAATGAAAAAACACCCATATCAAAGTGCTGCTTCAGGTAGTTACCAGGCAGACATCACTTCTTCAGTTTTACTGAAACAGAGTTTTCACTGGAGACAGTCTGCCCAATTGGAATAGGAACAGGCCTGAGTCCATGTTGCTGATAGGCATTCCTAGAAACAATTGGTTTTATTGTGAAAAGTTTGAAACCCACAGATTCTCCTCTTGACTTTTGCTCTCTGTTCATGGCAGTATTGTTCAAGGACAGAGTTGTTTCACCTTACTTTTGGTTCTCTACAGTCTACGTGATCCTTATAGTTGCAGTGTCAGCAGCAGCAGCAGAGGACCTGTGCAAGCCAGCCTCTAAAAGGCATCACTGCACTATTTTATTTAGGCCAGACTTTTATGACTTCGGATGGTTTGTGGTTTATTTGATCCCTGAAATCTGAATTATTCACACCAAAGTTACTAGTGGACCTTATAATTTATGTGGGCTAGATTAAAATATCACAACTTGAACGGCACACATCACTAAATTGTTCCAATTCTCTTTTAACACCAACTCCAGGCTAAGTACTCTTAGCTTGTACTCTAATATTGATGAGATTTGCAGTGTGGAAAGAGTGCATTGGAAAACTGTATTCTTTATTGATTTCTGGCGTGCTACATCACAGTTCTAAAAGAATTCACACGCATCATATAAATTAAAACTCAACATAATTAGAGATATATGTGACAATATAAAATATACATTTGGGAATACACAAGAGAGGGAGACGCTGGAATGAATGCCACTTTTAACTCCTGTGTTGTTGACCTTATCAGCTGTTGTTCTTTCCATATATATGTTGAAGACCTTCAAGTGGAGCACGTGGTGTTTTATTTTTGGAATCCCCTTGACAATCAATGGAATGTTTTGCTAATAAATCTTTGTTTTTATTGAGCATAACAAGTGATTTAGTAGCTATAAGGAAGGAAACATGAGGAAATGAATAATAGAAAGAGGCTATCAAGTGTTGCCCAGTTGATGTAGTTTTAATGTCTGTAACTAAGGACATTATTCTTACAGCGCGTCTACTACATTTCCCTGGAGTTTTACATGGGTCGCACTCTGCAGAATACTATGGTCAACCTGGCCCTGGAGAACGCATGTGATGAAGCCACCTACCAGGTAAAGCAAAGAATCATGGGTAGAAGACAAATGAGTGACTCAACCTAAAAATACAATAATAATTCTGTTAAATCTCCTTACAGCTTGGGCTTGACATGGAGGAGCTACAGGACATTGAAGAAGACGCTGGTCTCGGGAATGGTGGACTTGGTCGGCTAGCAGGTACGTAATATGAATTTATTTTAAAATGGTTTATTAATTGATTTTCTTCCACTAAATAACAATTTTACGGTCGTTTTTTTTCCTCAGCTTGTTTCCTGGACTCCATGGCCACTTTGGGTCTGGCAGCTTACGGTTATGGCATTCGTTACGAGTTTGGAATTTTCAACCAGAAAATAGTTAACGGCTGGCAGGTATGTTGGACACACAACATTGCAATTCTTGTGTTCACTACCAATCAGAGGTGGGACCAAGTTGTTGTTTTGCAAGTCTCAAGTCTTTGACCTCAAGTCAGAGTCAAGTCCCAAGTCAAAGACAGGCAAGTCCAAGTTGAGTCAAGTCACTGGCCCCTACGTCCAAGTTGAGTCCAAGTCATCTGCTTTGAGCAAGTAATTTCAAGTCATTAACATAAATACCAAATATATTTTTTTAAAGCTAGATAAGTCATGGTATATTTATATACATGAGTATTTATATCAGTGTTGTAGTTTTTTTTTTTTTTTTTAGTTTTTTATTGTATTGACAAGATCTTAGTGTGAATCATTACGGTCATAATAGAAAGAATTAAGATTTAAAAGTACTTTAATAACTGTTATTTTGTCATGTAGTCTGCACTGAAATGAAAGGTTCATGTTCTTTGTATTTCCCTCTGTTTTACTATATTGTTCTGCATATTACTGTAGTACATTTGAGGATACCATATCACCGTACTTCAGTTACAGCCAAAGTAATAAACAGAAGTGGGAGGGGCATGTTCCAGTTTGTTTCTATAATATTAAGCACCGCATTTATCAACTGTAAAGAGAAAAGTATTTTCTAAAAGCATGTATTTTTTTTAGGAGAAGCATCAAGCCTTCTCAGCTTCTCAAGTCATTGACCTTTAAGTCCAAGACTTAGTCCATTTTACCAATTCAAGTCTCAAGTCTTAAAAAATAGTGACTCATGTCTGACTCAAATCCAAGTCACGACTTGCAAGTCCCCACCTCTGCTACCAATATACCAAACCTAAAACCTGCCAGCAGTCATTTTTACCTTTTTGTGTAGTGCAACTTTATCAGCAAACTGGTAAACTGCTACCATATATGGACGAGCGGTCACTGAAAATAATTAATTGATGCAAGCCAAAGATCACTCAAATGAGTCCTTTTTTTCTGCAAAATTATTTTTAGCTTGTTCTCTCCTCTTCACCTCTACCATGTATTTCAATTATTCAAAAGCATCACCAATATATAGTTTGTCAGATTCACTGAAGGCCAACAGAACCGAATATGGGTCATCTCAGGCTACCTGTAACATGAGCTCGCACAGTGGATGGCTGCTTGTTTTGACTGCAAAACAATACATTGGCCGGTTGAGCTATTTTAATAACAGTGGGTGCATAAAATGAGGCTTTAGTTCCCAGGACCATCCGTCGGTCAGTTTTAATAATCACTTAAAGTTTGACTATCTTTTGAATCGCATTGAAATCCTACGCTGTGCCCCACACATGGACAGCTGCTAGAGTAACGTCTTCTCTTTTGTTGTGTGCTTAGGTGGAGGAGGCTGATGATTGGCTGCGTTATGGGAACCCCTGGGAGAAGGCTCGTCCTGAGTACATGCGGCCGGTCCACTTCTACGGCCGAGTGGAGCACACAGATGACGGTGTCAAATGGGTCGACACGCAGGTAGACATCGTATAAGAAGTCACACATGCTAAGTTTGAAATGATTTGGGCTCATTCAATAATTATTTTTTTAAGTTAATCAGTCAGTTTTAATTTCTTAGGTGGTTTTGGCGTTGCCGTATGACACCCCCGTACCTGGATACAGAAATAACATCGTCAACACCATGAGGCTGTGGTCTGCCAAAGCTCCTTGCGATTTCAACCTTAAGGACTGTAAGTTTATTTTTCAACAAACGTCCCCTGCCCACAACTTTGAAAAGTGAAAATGCTGAAAAGTTAAGCACTTTCTTTCCACAGTCAACGTTGGTGGTTACATCCAGGCTGTACTGGACAGGAATCTTGCTGAGAACATCTCCAGAGTCCTGTACCCCAATGACAACGTGAGCATTGACCTTATATTTAACGCAACATTGGCACTGGCTAAATATTGCACTAAGTTTACAGTGTATACACATTTCAGCTCTTGTTTATTTTAGCTGTCCCCAAATCATACTGGCCTTACATACTCTTACACATAATCAGTTGCATTGACGTAGTATGTCTAGTATGCCTATAGTTTAGAGTTTTATGGTGAAATTTGCAGATCTGGCAGATTTGTTGTCCTTGGTTATGGTTAATACTTCTGTAAATACTCAGAATATCTACAAGAAAGCCTAAATAAACAGGTGGGTGGGGAGTTCTTGCCTCCAGTGGAGGAATTCAAGTTCTTCAGGAGTGAGGGAAATATGGAGCGACAGATTGACAGGTGGATTGGTGCAGTGTCTGCAATGATGCAGTTACTGTGTCCAACCAGTGTGGTGAAGGAGCCAGGAGTGTCTATGTTCCTGTTTTGTTTTTGTTTTTTTTCCAAAATTAGGCCCTATGTTCCCACATTTCCTTTATCATCTGTTTGCATCAGAATTTATTCCCATTTCTCCCAATTAAGTCATCAGTTACACCTGACCTATTATCCAGCAGCAGTTGACTACAGATGTAATGTAGAGGTCATGGTGCAAAAGATCCTATCTTGAAATGACTGTGAATCCCTTTAAATGCTATATAAAAATATAAAAATGACTTGGAGTTTAATTTTGAGAAAAAAATCGTAGAAAGGGAACATAGGGCTGACCCCAAGGAACCGAGTAGAAATGCAAAGCTCTCGATTTACCGGGCAGTCTACATCCCTGCCCTCTCCTTTACTCATGAGCTTTGGGTAATGACCAAATAATGTAATAGATGGATGATTGTTATTAGTTGAAAGGACTTTAAACCATAACATTATGACAAGTGTGTGCAGACAATCCCAAACAAAAAAGAAGGATCAGCATTTGTAGATCATTAGTTTCAGTGTTTATTTTGATCTCAAGTTTAGGTACCTGCCCTCCATCTGAAATCTATTGAGACTTTGCAGCTGATTTCTCTGGGGGTGTCATGATAGCTGTAGGCTCTGCTCTGTCTGAAACTTTATTAAACTATCATCTGTGCTTTATTTTACAATCTAACCATCAAGAATGACTTGGCTGAAACTATAACAGATGTTTGTGCTGTTAAAAAAAAAAGTCATTCACACATAAAATGACAAGCCAATTAGCATTAGTCATTTGTTTTTAAGTTAGCCACTCTTCACTTTTTTGTAAAACACCTAAAAAGGACCTTGAACACCTGTATTAATCACAGGCTCCTAAAAGAAAAAATGTGTTGTTTAAATCTATTTTGGGGTTTTTTGAGTTTTCAGAAAACAAAATAAAACGTTTTCAGACTCCGCGTTTTCCGGGCATGTCCCACCGGAAGGAGACCCCGAGGAAGACCCAGGACACGCTTGAGGGACTATGTCTCTCAGCTGGCCTGGGAACGCGTCGGGGTCCCGCCAGAGGAGCTTGAGGAAGTGTCAGGGGTGAAGGAAGTCTTGGAGTCCCTGCTTAGACTGCTGCCCCTGGATAAGCAGAAAAAAATGGATAGATAGTTTTCATAAACCTTTAAACTTTTTTGACAGTGACTGCTAATGTGCCATTATAAAAACTCCATTAGAGACACATGTAGAGCACCCCCAGCATGATTTCAGTGCAAAGTATCAATAATGAAGTGCTGCAGTTCTAATGTGTCTGGATTGATTTTTGTATTGCAGTTCTTTGAGGGGAAGGAGCTGCGTCTTAAACAGGAGTACTTTGTGGTAGCAGCCACTCTTCAGGACATCATCCGCAGATTCAAGGCGTCCAAGTTTGGCTCCACTGAGTTTGTGCGTCTGGACCTGTCGGCCCTGCCGGACAAGGTATTATAACCGTTTGATTTGAAACTTACAGCTCACATTGACATCTATCAATACTGGAGAAGTTTGTAAAAGGAAATCTGTCCATTGATTTGAGTTTGAGTTTTGCAATGTCTAAAGAAGTTCACCTTGGGGTCAGACGTGAGAAAACCCTGTTCTCACTTGGCAAACATTGGCCTTGAACATCTTTTGAATGTTGCTTGTGTAATTCTTTATCTTGCCTTCCTGCTTTTGTTCTATTCAGGTTGCCATCCAGCTGAACGACACCCACCCTGCAATGGCCATCCCTGAGCTGATGAGGATCCTAGTTGACCAAGAAAAACTCACATGGGAAAAGGTTTGACCTGTAAAATTCAGTAAAATTCAGTAAAATACAATTAAAATCATGAGATTGAATATTGTAGGCATCATTTTGTGCCATACTTTTCATGTCAGAGCTGGGACATTGTGGTTCGTACTTGTGCTTACACCAACCACACGGTGCTGCCTGAGGCTCTGGAGCGATGGCCTGTGGACCTCTTCCAAAACTTACTCCCTCGTCATCTCGAAATCATCTACGAGATCAACAGAAGGCACCTGGAGGTAAGAGGACAAAGCTTTTCATTGTATTGTATCCACTGTTGCTCTGCATTTGCGTTTTTTTTGTTGTTGTTTTTTTTTAGAGCAATGCTTATTTGTGAATATTCAAATCTGTTTTTTTACAACTGTGAAATGCCACTATGAAGAGGTGGGGCCTTCCAGTTTTGAACAGGAAGTCAATTGACCTATTTCTATTCTTAGCAAGCTGTTTTAGATCAATAATTTGGTTTAAAATTGAAAAAATGTCAACTTTTGTTCATGCATGTTGGTTTAAAACTAAATGACAACAAAATATTATATGTCCTCCTTTGTACCACACTCTTCTTAAACCTATACTTGTCTTTTAACAGCGTATTGGTAAACTGTTCCCTGGAGACTTTGACCGCCTTCGCAGAATGTCACTGATTGAGGAAGGCCATGTCAAGAAAATCAACATGGCTCATCTGTGCATTGTCGGTTCCCACGCTGTGAACGGAGTGGCCCGCATCCACTCGGAGATCATCAAAAACACAGTGTAATGACCTAAGTATGCCTCAGTTTGAGACAGATGATAGTTTTTTACTCCAGTGGCTGATTTTCGTTTTTTTTGTTCAGGTTCAAAGATTTCTATGAGGTGGACCCTGACAAGTTCCAGAACAAGACCAATGGCATCACCCCACGGCGCTGGCTGGTCATGTGCAACCCTGGTCTTGCAGAGGTCATTGCTGAGGTAAGTGCAAACAAAACAAAAGTAAAAACTAAGCTCAAAATTACATAATATTTGTTAGGGGGAAAAATAAGTGTTGTCCTAATAATTTTGAGAGTTGCAAAGGAAGGTAGGAGATTTCAGTGTCTGAGGTAGAAGTTTATTTACAGTCAGTACAGAATACCATTACTTTAAACATCCTTTTGTGGACTTGAATGGAGTAAGAAGCCAGCTTGGAGACAAATTGACTGAAATATAGTAAGAATTGCATAGCATAATACTTCTGAAAGAATAGTAGACAAAGTTGACTGCGGCTTTGGAGGAGGAAAATTCTGAAACGTTGGATACTACCAGTAATACATGGATTAGAAAGGAACTGGAGGTGCTCTTGTTATGACTTGGTAGAGGATGGAATATTCCACAACATTATTGCATTTAAAGTAACTTTGTAGTATTTTTCTTTTCTAGAGGATTGGTGAGGACTACATCCGGGACCTGGATCAACTGAAGCAGCTTTTGAACTTTGTGAACGATGACTCTTTAATTGCCGATATAACTAAAGTCAAACAAGTAAGTTTTGAAAACAACCTTTTTTTTTTTTTTTTTTTTTATTAATAAAAAAATCTTGTTAATAATCATCATAAATTGTAGGAGAACAAGCTGAAGTTTGCTGCTCATCTTGAAGAACACTACAAGGTCAAGATCAACCCTGATTCCATGTTCGATGTTCAAGTGAAGAGGATCCACGAATACAAGAGACAACTTCTGAACTGCCTGCACATCATCACATTTTATAACCGTAAGCCTCTACTATACACAATTGTAATGGTATATTCTATTTAAACATAAAGTCTAAAGGCTGTTTATTTGTCCAGGTATCAAGAAGGAGCCACAGAAAAAATGGACCCCCAGAACTATCATGATTGGAGGAAAGGTAAAGGCATTTCAAAGTTTAAATCCTTCAATACTACAATGGGGAACTGTACCACACAATTTCTTCAATTTAGAACTGTGAATGTTTGGTTTTAGTCTGGACAATGATTGCTAAAACACGGGTAGAGGTATTGTTAAGGTACCAGAATAGTTTAAGGGTACCCAGCCTTCTCAGCTATCGGTAAAATTATCCTGGTTTTCGAGATTATAAAACAGTGTATTAGGTGACCTCTATTCAGAGTACTTTATCATGACATTAAATTCTGCTGACACAAAATTGGCAAGCTTAAATAAAATGATCCTTAACCCACTTTATTGTTTTCACCACATGCAACATTCCTGCTCTTTCTTTTATTTCTTATAATTATTAGCAATTGATTAGATGAATTTCAGACATTTCATAATGGTTCCTTCAGTGAAAAACAAAACACAAGTGGATCTTTGACTCAGTATTTGTTTGATGGGCTTATGTGACCTTTTCCCTTATTTAACATCCTACTACTTGGCAGCATTTAGCTGTGAGTTATGAAATGCTGCGTAATTCACACTCTCCCTGTGTATTTGACACCTCCTCTGTTTCCCTCCAGGCCGCTCCTGGATACCACACTGCCAAGATGATCATCAAACTCATCACTTCCATTGGAGACATCGTCAACAATGACCCCATTGTAGGAGACCGGCTCAAAGTAATCTTCCTGGAGAACTACCGCGTAACTTTGGCTGAAAAAGGTGAGACTGAGAAGGGACATGCAAGTTTGTTATGATTTTGATATAAAGTTTTTTTAAGGTGGCATTTCCCAGTGCATTAATCTAATGACAGTAAATGAAGAGTCTTAAAGTCCACAGCATGTATGAGTTGAATAATCTGTATAACAATATATGAATATGAATATGAATAATCTGTGTAACAAAACTTCTTAAAGGAAAAAATTATTTGCAAGTCCAGTAAATAAATGAATTAGCCATTTTTTTTAGATGGAAAATGTAATGTGTTTTAGTTGTCAGACTATTAAATCCCTTTGTCCTTTTTGTGTAGTCATTCCTGCAGCAGACCTGTCGGAGCAGATCTCCACAGCCGGCACTGAGGCCTCTGGAACTGGAAACATGAAGTTCATGTTGAACGGAGCCCTCACCATTGGCACTATGGACGGAGCCAACGTGGAGATGGCAGAAGAGGCCGGAGAGGAGAATCTCTTCATCTTTGGCATGAGGGTCCCTGATGTGGAAGAAATGGACAAGAAAGGGTGAGTGAAAACCTTACATTGCGTCATTTGATTATCATCTGACTTTTCACTTCCATTCAACTATGACTATTAGAGTGCAATCAGTTTCAACAGGAGAAAAACAATATTAAAGTCCAAAGTCCTGGACATGAGCTAAACACTCCTGTTAAACATTTGCTTTCCTGTTTAGATATGACGCCATGTCCTATTACAAGCGCATCCCTGAGCTGAAACAGGCCATGGACCAAATCTCTGGGGGCTTCTTCAGTCCCAACCAGCCTGATCTCTTCAAAGACCTGGTCAACATGCTCATGCAACACGACAGGTGAGGCTTGGCAGTTGGCGAGCTTGGTTTTTAATGACAAAGTGCAAATAAACTAACCTCACTGGAAAAACGTGCAAAAACCTCAAAGTGCACCATGAAACAACAACACAGACAATCATTACAGAGGACACAGTGACAGTGAAATAAATAAGACTCAAAGATTAAGTAGCCAAAATATTAAGGTGCTAATATAAAGTGCATTGTTTAAGCTTATAACAGCCTGTGGGAAGAAGCTCTTAGTGAAGCGATATCTTGTTCTAGACGGAGGAAGCTCAAACATGTCTCTGCCAGAATAGCCAGAGGGGTCATATATGATCTCAAGGGCTCGGTTTAGTTGTTGCTGCTACCGTTTGTCATCTATGTAGCCATCTATGTGGGGTAACATGTGCTCTGCTTCTACAGATTCAAGGTCTTTGCCGACTACGAGGACTACATCAAGTGCCAGGATAAAGTCAGTGCTCTCTACAAGGTCAGTTTGCTTATTGCATATTCTTGCCAATATCTCTCAGGCCTGTCAACGCAGAGGCGACAGATACTACTACTCAACTGCTACTGTTGCCTCTTCGTAACCGATGTGCACTTCCCCAGCATTACTCTTTGCTGCTATTAGTCTGTCAACAAAGGGGTTTAATGTTCGGTCTTGATAGTGTTAGAGGGGGTATATTAAATCCTAGATATAAAAAATGAAGCGCCCTAATCTAATAACATCAGTCTGTGTGTTCATACAACTACACCTCCTACATACACTTTAAATAGTGCTTGAGCATGGATCAGAATTCGGTGGTAGAATTTGGTGTTTCAGATTGTAGAAATGATTACCTTAGTGGATCATCCAAATAAAACAAAAACTACGACTTCTTGGTCAGCATGGCAAGGAACTATGGTGAAATTCACTGAGTATTATGGCGAATTCACTCTAGCTTCAGAAAGCAGGGCCATTATTCAACCCCAAAAGTGTCATTGTCATTTGTGCATTTCTTTGAAAAACTGAATTTTCCATAGTTATACACTACCTGTCAAAAGTTTTAGAACACCATAATTTTTCCAGTTATTTATTGAGCTTGAAATGGCACAAAGGTAAGAACTGAACAGCCAGAGGATAAAAAACTAAAAGATAAAGATAAAAAAAGATAAAAGATAACAAAACACAAGTCCAAGCTCTGCCAAAACTACCTTAGGAAAAAAGAACAAGATGGTGAGCTTGAAAACATGGAGTGTCCACCATAATCTCCAGACTTAAACCCCATCGAGCTGGTTTTGGGATGAACTGGACAGAAGAGTGAAAGCCAAGAAACCTACAAGTGCCACACATTTATGGGAACTTTTGCAACAGACTTGGGAAGAACTTTCTCAAGAATATTTGATTTCTGTTGTAAAAAGAACGAGCCACGAGTGTGTTCAGCTGTTATATCTGCCAAAGGTGGAGACTTTCATGAATCAAAAGTTTAGAATACATTTTGGTCAACAGACCGTAAAAAAAAATGGACAAAGTCTGGTGTTCTAAAACTTTTGTCCGGTAGTGTATAGGCCCCTGCCCTTCATCTGATATGACTACATTGTGAATGCAACATAAATGGGTTTATTTTCTTCTATTGTTATATCATCTTTTCAACAGAACCCTAAAGAATGGGCCAAGAAGGTGATCCATAACATCGCTGGCTCCGGTAAATTCTCGAGCGACCGCACCATCGCGCAGTACGCCCGGGAGATCTGGGATATGGAGCCCAGCCTGGAGAAAATCGCTGCCCCTGACGACCCACGCTAAACTGGGCCCTGGTGTAGTCTGCAACGGTCAAACCACCACTCGGATCACGTAGCTGTTTTCACTGTACTGTACTGTAGCATTTTATTAGTTGTGTATTTGATATGAGTTTGTTCAAGGCTAAGTCATAACCAATGCATTTCATTTAAAAATAAGAATAACAATTGTTGATAAATGCACCTTAACACGAAAATAATCAAATGTAGGTTTTAAGTTTTAGCGTTTTAAAGTGTAGAATAAAAATGAGTTTAAAAATTGCGTACGTGTATATTTAGCTTTTAAAAACTGAGATGCATTGGTGTGGATGTAGTCTTGGGGTGCGTTCATACTTGTCCTGGTTTGGTGCTAATGTAGATTTGGTTCTAGCCCTGGTTTGGTCCCGAGTTTACTCCCAGTTTTGTCGTGGTCATCTTGTGTGAATGCACCCTTTAGTTGTATAGTTTTTTCTTCACTGCAGTTTGTCACTTTACCTAACACCTTACTTCACACTGGCCTTGGAGTTTAGCCTGGATTTGTACAGAGGGCTGTCATACTGCATTTACTCACCTCAAACTTCTTTACCTGAACTACTGACGTACCACGGCTAAAAGCGGTACTCTAAACGTCCATACTCAAATCCCAGCTAAACCCATGTCTTCCCAGCGTCAGAGCTGCACTGTGACCAACATTTCTGCTTATCTAAATGTTGAAGTCCTTTCCATCGCTGAATGTAACCATAGTGTGTGTAGCATGTTCCTGTCATTCTGCTGTACTGCTCCCTAAGTGACTTGCGATAGAGACGACTAAACCCTCTCTAAGTACGACTTGAGAAGATTGTGATGTTGTTCCTGTGTAGACAAGTACTGTATTAAGATGCCTGCTTGACTGGCTGTGAGCTGCTGCCCATACAATTGGTCTAACATAGCACCTTCTGTCAAAGCATTTCATATTTAATAAAATACTCCATGAACAAATAAGACAAATGTGTGCTTTTGTGTGTCTGTGTTCACAATTGGGAGACGAGAAACTACCTCAAGGATGTAAAGGTGGATAGTAATTGGCAAGTTTTTATATTTTCTAGTTTAGGTCTGATGCCATACACTCTGTTTCCAGTTGAGGGCTAAATTATAGGGGTATAACGATATTCAAGTCTCACAGTCCGATATCATCACGGTATGAACCTCACAGTACAGTATTTATTGCAATCTCGTGGGAAAGCTCACGATATGGTGGGGAGGCTCATGATAAGGGATGTAACAATATCCAAATCTCTCTGTACAATATTTTCATGATATACATCTATTTATTGCAATATTTTGTAGAGGCTAAACAGCTAAAACTGTTAATATGCTACTTATTCCTCTCAAAATGCCTTGACAAGACTTAATCCAAAGAACTAAGCCTTAAAAGTGCTTAGAACTGTTATTTCTTCATGTAGTCTGCACTGAAATGGAACAAAGGATCATGGTCTATGTAGTTCCCTCAGTCTTTTTAGCTATTGCTGCACCATAACTCTTAATTTAAGCAAAGAGACTTGTAATTCAATATATTGTGATGGTCCACGATATTACTGTGAGAACTTTGATGATACAATATCACGATGTTTCGGTTATTATTACATCCCTTAATTAGTAGTATTGGCAAGTTTTTATATTTTCTAGTTTAGGTCCAATTCCATATATTCTGTTTCCAGTTCAGGCCTGAATTAGGTTTACTTTTTATTCTAAGTAAAGTGGGAGTGGGCACCAGTGAAAAGGTTGCGCGCTTACGGCCAGCAGAGGGCGCCAATGCACTGTCAATGTTTATTGTTTTGTCATCGCAAGAAACAAAACGAAACCTGAACTGTCATTTTGAGTAGACAAAAAAATAAGTTCTCTAAAAAACAGACCCATGGCTCTAAGCTGTGTGAGTGTGTGAGTGAAAAAAAATCTACATATACAAATTTTGGTAAAAAAAAAAAAAAAAAACTAGGCCCATGAACACGAGGCCTAAATGTAAAGCGAAACTAAAATTGGGTCTGTTAGCTTAATGGTGTGGAAGGCCACACTGTAAATGAAATAATACCAACAAAATCACTGCCTTTCTCAGTAAGATCTTATTATTTACTCTGACCATTTGGCCATGATAAGGTTATGAGGTTACATAATTGTCTGAAAATCTCCACAGAGACTAGTTTTAAACACCAGGCGACTCCTTATTGGCCAAGAAGCTTCCGTTCTAATCTTAGATCAAGGTGAAGTTGCGCCCTAGATTTCTGTTGAGCTTTGGTTTGGTTAGAATGTGCCTGTTGATTGATTGTCTTGATTTCGTTTGTTAATCCCTACAAATGTAAATACTTGTTGCATTTCAGCACTGGCCTCGTATGATCGTGTCACTGTATCGTAAAAACTGATTCATGTTGTAAGTCCACTTTGAGTTTTAGGTCCCACATGTCCATCAATGCACACAGTATTGTGAGTTTTCTTTGACCCAAAATTTGGCCCAACACTGGCTCGTCCCTCCCACCTGCAGATGATTGACAGGTGTCCAAAGGTGGCCTGCCCCTCCTCCTGTATTAGAGCTGGGGGCTTCCCTGGACCCTGTCACTGTGGACCACCTTATGCTCCTGGTGACCGGGATGGAATGCCCTCTGTACGGTAAGACCAGCACGCCTAACCACTAAAAATTTAAGAAAATTAATTCAACCACATGTATATTATTTTATAAATATGAAATATTACATTTATTGTATATGTATTGTATTGTTACTGTAGGTAATGCTACTATTTATTATCAGGGGGAGCAAGTAAGAATTTCAATTCATTACAATTTATGTAGTGTATATCTTTACTTAGAAATTTGTGTAAATATCCAAATTAATTGTTAAAATTACAAAATAGAATTTTCATAATTTTAATATGGGTGACATTTGATTGATGGGCCTATTCCATTGACAAGCAGTGCTGAAATAAGTTTGTTAATAAGTTTTTAATTTCAGTATTTCATATTTTTAAGAAATTGTACAAATAGCAATGACATGTCTGTGTGTGTATTTTCAGAGCTGGACCCTTTGGAGGTACCACCCCTCACCCCCACCAGTAAAGAGGTCCTGAGCCAGGCGGTGCGGGCCAGTTTTGCCGGCTTTAACCAGGAGCGACTCAAGCTGCAGCTCCCACAAGGTACTGACTTATCTTAACATATACAAGCATATGAGACACAGACAGATGTGGTGATTGTGTTTGTAGACCCCATGCTGTGGTCTGAGTGGGAGGTGAACCACTGGCTGGACTGGTGCCAGGCCGAGTTTGCCCTGCCGTGTGTGGGGGCAGAGCTGCGGGCGCTGGGGGGGCCGGAGCTCTGTGCGCTGGAGCGGGACACTTTCCTCAGCCTCACGTTGGACTGCAACACCGGGGAGATCCTGTGGGAGCACCTGGACTCTATGAGGAAGGGTACAAATCACTGTCATTGTAATGCCAAAAAGTTCACTTGTTTTGTGTTGTATTATAGGTTAATTATTTTTATTTTAGAGTTATAAGTGCCTTTTTTACTTGCTCTATGTAACTTCTGTGACTGTGTAAAAAAAGAGTTTATGTTTAAATTATATTTTAGAAAACATTTGTGACTTTAAACTTCTGGTTGAGTGTTGACAATTATAAGTTGTATTTTGTAAATAAATTATTTTATTTTTCCAGAAAATGAATATGAGAGCTCTTCATCATATCCCAGCGCAGTCATTTACTGCCAAACGTCAACCAACAAAGGTAATATGGTCTATTTGTTTGCCTCTTAACTGGAATCCTATGCAAATGTTGTTTGTTCTTGACAGAAAACTACTGTGACTATGAGCGGCCGCACAAATCGTTCCAGGTCCAGTACTGTCCACTGGAGTTTTCTGAACTGCACACACTGGATCCTGTCAGTATCTCCTCACAAGACAATCAGATGGTCAAGAGAGAGATGATGACTGCGCAGCTCCAAACTGTGATAGAAACAACAGGTGAAACATGAAAGAAATTACTCTCAAATAAATTACTTAGTGTGTTTTTGATTAATTTAAACGTTTTACAGTAAATGTGGAGTCAGAAGAGGCTGCTCCGTGTGATGTGGACGACATTGTTGTGGGCCCTCTGTCTTGGTCGGGTCAGCTGCACGAGTCAGACGAGTCCATTGAGGAGGAAACAGTATTCGAGCAAATGTTTAATGTTTTCCAGCCACACAGGAGTTTCAAAGAATACATGGGCAACAAGACAGACCTGGGCCGAGCAGTCATCCCTGCTGCTATTCTCGCAGGATACACAGGTGGGTCATAAAGCTGTAAATCTGTAGATAGTTGAACGATTATAGACATACAGATTTGAAACAGGTTTTTTGTACATGTAGGGAGCGGCCCCATTCAGCTGTGGCAGTTTCTTCTGGAGCTTCTGACCGACCGCACTTGTCAGTCCTGTATTAGCTGGACTGGAGATGGATGGGAGTTCAAGCTGACAGACCCAGATGAGGTAGAAGTATTTTTATATTACAAGTCAAAGAAAGTTCATTTAAAATTCCCTGTACTTTGTCTTCTAAATGCTATAGTTACTTTTAAACTCCTTTTATAAACCTATGCATGACGCAACACAGCAATACAACTACATTTTTGGCTTATCTGATTATGAGTTATCAGATTTCTATGGTATAGTGTATCGAGTGTAATCAACAGAAGATTTATATTCTCCTTTCCCACTGAAACACATTTGTAATTACTTGTACCTACAGCTCTTTTTCGTCTATCTCTAGCGTGTATGTTCTTGCAGGTGGCTTTGCTGTGGGGCAGGAGGAAGAACAAGCCTAAGATGAATTATGAAAAGCTGAGTCGGGGCCTGCGCTACTACTACGACAAGAACATTATCCGCAAGACGGCCGGCAAACGCTACGTCTACAGGTTTGTGTGCAACCTGCAGGGGCTGCTGGGATACGAGCCCGGAGAGCTGCACGCCATGTTGGACATCAGCTCCAAGAGTCGCTAAAAGTCGCTTCTGAAGTTTATTGTTGTACTGACGATGTAATACTATTAGATATTAGTTGATTTGAATTATGGGTCACACGCCAAATTTGGATGGCAGAGGAGACCAGTGAATAATTAAGGAGCTAAAATGGACACAACTAAACAAATTTTATACTCCATGCAGGTTGTTTGACCCTATTTACAGATGCACTTAACATGGATGGGCTCCCTTTAAGTGGGGGTATACTGCAGTGAGTACTCAGGTGGTCTTAGAGATTCCCTGCCATGAGGGTTTTAGACCACAAAAGCAGCTGTTGTTGGTAATGGAACCCAATTGATCTGTTTACTCTCAGCTTTCCCGCTCGACTTCATACAGTAATATAAAGACACCTAATTTAACACTGGTGGTGTACTCAGACTGTGTGGACCAGGGTCAGCTGGTCAAAATGACAGTGCTAATTTCAATCTGACCTCATATTGTGCTCTTGGATGATGTGGTGGGTTTTGCTTTGGCGACTAAAATACACCACATTTTCAAAAATTTAATTGTGAAAATAAGACAGAACACCGTTACAAAAACAGACATCTAGTCATTCTAAAACAGTCCATTTTATGTTGGTGGGTGTTGTCATTTTTTTAGTATAACATGGTAAAGATGGCACCACATTTATTTTTTTTCCATTTTTAACACTTAATATTTTCTAGAGCGTTCATCACAGAGGGTCAGTTTAAAAATACAAAGTAGACAGCCTGTGTGGGGGAAGGTGTATGTTCAATTTCAAACCTCTGTCTTTGAAATTGCACTTTCCACAGTCCTTCAAAGATGCTCTCAGATTTGAAAAGGAGAATTTTCGAGCAAATTCAAGCCCCGAGAAATCTGTGATAAACCAAAAGCACATGTGTAAAAGTCCAGATTCTACAAGCACATGTGCCAAATTTTAACCCTTGAAAATTTGAAGGACCAACCTTAAATAGTTTTTTAGATACAGCAATCTGAAAGTGGCTCCTCGAAAAACTCGGGGGAGCTGACAAAATATTTTTTAATTCTAACACTATAAGGAGTTGGGACTTTTCTTATTGGAAAGTGCGTGAACCTCCTAGAATTTTTTCAGTCAAATCTGAGATGGTCGGGTGGGGGCATTCAGAGATTTGGTGTGGAAAAATACAAAAATACGAATCTTTTAGTTTGAAGTACTAAAAGAGACTTAACACAAACTTAAATATACAAACCAACTGCACCTTATCACTGATATTTAAGGTCCTACCTCCAAAACTTATTCACAGAGGTAGTAATACTATAATATATTCTTTCTTTTAAATGTATAGTTACCAGAGCAAATCTACCTCTACCTTCTTTTGTACTTGAACCTCCGCAATCCTTATTTGAATAATGTTACAGAACTGAATACAGCTTTTGGGGTAAAAATATCACTTATTGCTACTCCTATCAAAATGGACTGTTTGAAGATTATATAATTATATAATTATAAAGACTCTATGTTTATGATGATTTCCATTAACTAAAAAAAAAAAAAAAAAAAAAAGCTAAACTGATACCCCCTGTTATCAATTTATTAAGGCCTGACACTATGTCAACTTATTGTTCAATGCTGGAACTGTATATTTTGGGCTCAGTATTTATCGTGGGTACAGTCATGGTGAGATTTTTGACATTTATATGTAATAAAGTCAGATTTGAGTGGTAGAGACAGGGGCGGAATTAGCAATTTGGGGGCTCTAGGCGAACTTGAGTTTGGAGCTCTCACTATAACACTTTTTTTTTTTTTTTTTTTTTTTTTTTGGTTTAGGTTGTTTTTGTTTTAAATATGTTTACTGTCTGTTTTCCCCCATTGTTCTTGAGACATGCTGCACATCTCTATTTATTTGAATTATGGTGGATTGGAAACATGTCTCATTAATATAGCCTACTAGAAAACCAGAACTGAAAGTTGTTTTTTTTTTTTTTTTTTTTTGCTAGAACAACTACATTTTTCTTTACATCCACTACATATGATTTTTTATAATTTTTCTTATGATTATTGTTGAAAAGTAAACTACTCTCATTTAATGTCATGTTGAGAGAAAATCAAATTGCTCTGAGGCCTCCAGGTTTGGGGTTGGTGGCTCCTCCAGGTTTGGGGCCCCAAGGCAGCTGCCTACTTTTGCCTAATGGTAGCACCGCCTCTGGGTAGATTAAAATAAATAACCTCTAACCTCTCCTTCATTCATTCTGCAATTTATTGTTTGCAGCCCAAGCTTTTTATATTAATTAAACTGTTTATTTATGTGCAAAATGGGTTTATTGGCATTACCTTGCTTTGTGTCACTACCATAAAGTATTTTCAACATTATAATTTATTGCAGTATTTCTCTGTAGCAAAAATTGTATCATCGTGACAGGGCTGATAATGTCTGTATTTGAATCAGTGCCACATTTGTCGCTGAAGTACTTTAAAACACTTGAAAACACCTTTCTTACACAGTTGTATTCACATCGCGCCCCTTGCCGGCTGCTCCATTAGGGGTCCACAGGGGTAAGTGGTGGAAATAATCCCCACTCTAAACCTCTAACACATCCACTGACCATGTGAAATCTGATTCTTGTTTGCTGTATCTTACACCACACAGTTTAGTCATTTATGTGTAAAGAATATGCAAATGAAATCAGTAAGTAGTGAAATAATTGTAACTGATTTATTTTCAATATTGTGTGCTTGGTTGTCCTAACAACGTAAAATGCTTGCCTAATGTCTGCTTGTTTGGTCAGATATGTATGGTATAAATTCTCTGCAGAGCTCAGCATTTGCATTGCCTGTTTGGAAAGTTCCATGTGGTCTTTTAACGCTTCCTCTTTTTTTCTTTCCTAAATATTGGTTTCATTTACTTAACTTGACCTTTTGGTAAAGAAAAACTGTTACTGCAAGCACATTTTGTTTAAATTATGTGTGAGATTTGTTAAATAAATGGTTTATTCTCAAGGAAAAGTTTCAGATGTCAATACAATCTAATCTAATACAATCTAATTTGTAAGTGGCCTCATTATTGGAAACGAGAGTTGATTAAAAGTTAGTAAAACATCCATTCACTTTGTTAACCTATTTTAACAGGCTCACTAAATGGAAAATGGACAGTTCATTGTTTGAGTACTTTTCTAGATACATGTACACAAACATTCTGTTGTGTATATTGGATAAAAACATTTTGTGTATATATGTAAGGTAACCAGACATCCCTATTTACCCGGGACAGTCCCAGTTTTGAGCCCTGTGTCCAGTGATTTGTCCCAGTTTTATACAAGAAATGTCCCAGGTGTCCCTATTTGATCCCTGCCAGCAGTAAATAGCGGCATTAATTGTCATCTTTTTAGGTAAAATACAGAAAAGCTGCTTAAAAATGACCAAAACACAAAGAAAATGCGACTATACTAACTCGTGTATGTAAGTCATGAATGAGTTGAGGGTTTTTTTCTCCCAAATATTGGTTTCGTTTACTTGACCTTGTGGTATAGAAAAACTGTTATTGCAAGCACATTTTCTTTAAATTACGTGTGAGATTTGTTAAATAAGTGGTTTATTGTCAAGAAAAGTTTAAAGTGTCAGTACAATCTAATTTGTAAATGGCCTCATTATTGGAAATAATTACTCACACTAAACAAAGAGGCTGGAATCTGTGTTAACCTGTGTGCACCAAAAATAATATATTATCTGATTTCTGGAGTTTTCTAAAGGATTATTGAAATATCATGTAAACAGATCTGATGTGAGATTAAGTTATTTAAAATTAATTGCAATTTATAGTCTTAAAATTCTACATTTAATTGAATAATCCAGTCAATATTTGATCACTGACACGTCACAAGATTTAATGCTCAGGTTTCTTTTGTGCATGTAAACATCGGGTTATCGGATTATTCTAGTTACTGAGTTTTACTGGTCATGTAAATGTACTGTTAAAGGTGAATGACAAACTGTGGCAAAAACAGCAGCAAGTTCAGTGAGCAATGAGCATGGCTGAAATGTGTCACTCCGAGAATAATCCACAAGATGGTAGGTCGGCCCTTAATGGACATTTTCTTTTAGCGACAACAGATGTGGTATGGACTTAAGAGTATACATCAAGTCTTTGTACCTTTCATATAAAATCTATTGAACCTGAAAATAATATTGGGCTAATTTTTAATCTAAATGTTGAAAAGATTAGTTGACATAAAAGAATTGTAGGAAAAGTATATTGTGTTTTATTGACACTAGTTTCTTGATATTTTTTGCTCCTTATTTTGAATTTATTAGTGTTTATATTGTTTCTTTTTGTCATTATAATATATTGTGATGTGTGAGCTACTGTATCCAAATAATTTCCCTTGTGGATCTATAAACTTAGAGGTGCAATGTGTAACTTTCTGGCTGGGGGTCTGTCACCTGCTTGTTTCTATGCTCTATGTTCCACAGTATGATGTTAAACAGCTCTTCTTTACATTTATGAAATTAGAGACGGTTTTATAGCTACAAAAACAGGGATTCTGATTGTGAGTGGGGTCGCCTTTCCGCAGATCTGACCTGTAACTTGGTCTGGTTTGGTCTCCATGAAGATAGAAAGATGTAATACCATACCGGGAAAGCAATAACATCTCCATGGACAAAAGGAAGGTGGTGAGGGGCTTATCCTCCAAACAAATAAATTCAAACAGATAAATTCAAAAGCCCCTCCACCAGAAACATTACACAAAACATCTTCAAGACTTAGACAAACTTTAAGAATAAAAAAAGAACAGACATACACATCATATGGGTCAAAGAAGTGGAATAAGTTTATCTGTCAAAGTAACAAACGAGTTAAGAGAGGAGTAATTCATTGAGTAACTTTAAGGCTCTACATTGTCATTGTGATTTCTGTTTTTCCCATTGTTCTGGCGTTAGGGTCTTCTGCTCAAACGCGTGGATTTCTTTGAGCTCCTCTGCAAGGCACGTGTTGACCATCCTGCAAAAATTAAATATAACTTAAGTCCTTTGTTATTAAGCGTTTACAATATGACATCTATATGAAGTTCTGTGTCCATAATACCTGTGTCTCTGTAACAGCGGCTTGCCCTCAAACTGGGGTGAAACAATAAGGACTTTGTAGCTGGCAGCACATCTGTTAGGGGATGTGTCCTCAACATCCTGGAAACAAAAGAGTTGATTAAATTCACTTTGTTAACATATTTTGACAGGCTTACTAAATGGAAAATGGACAGTTTATTATCTGAGCACGTTTTTGGATACATTTACACAAACATTCGATCATGTATATTGGATAAAGACATTTTGTGTTATATGTAGGGTGACCGGACATCCCAGCACAGTCCCAGTTTTGAGCTCTGTGTCCCCTGTCCCAGCAAATTTATCCAAAACCATTGATTTGATCCAATTTTATACAAGAAATGTCCCAGGTTTTTCCTATTTTTGACCAATTTGATACCTGCAATACCTAGGGTGACCAGAATTTCAGCATAAATAACTGGGACATCCCCGTTTTTTAGGTGATTGGTAATAATAAAATGAAACAAGTGTGTAATTAAGGAAAGCTGTTCTGCACTCAGCCCATTCATGACTAATGTGAGTCAGTATAGTCACGTTTCTTTGTGTTTTAGTCATGTTTAAGCAGCTTTTTTTTGTATTTTACCTAGACAAATTACAACGTATGCCTCTCTTAACTGTTGGCAGGGATCAAATTGGTCAAAAATAGGGACACCTGGGACATTTCTTATATAAAACTGGGACAAATCACTGGTTTTGGATACATCTGTGGGTCAGGGGGACACCGGGCTCAAAACTGGGACTGTCCCGGGTTAACAGGGACATCTGGTTACCCTATGCCAGTAGTAAAGAGAGGCATTAATTGTCATTTGCTTAGGTAAAGTACAGAAAAGCATGCTTAAAAATTACCAAACACAAACAAAATGTGACTATACTGACACATGTTAATCCTGAGTTAGTCATGAATGGGTCGAGTGCAGAAGTTTCTTTCCTTAATTACGCACTCGTTTAACAATTGTATTATTACCAACCACCACAAACCGAAGGAGTCCCAGTTTTTTGACTTTGAAAACCTGGTCACCTTAATTATATTATATGCCAAGTTTAGGAGCACTTTGTTGGCATTATGATTCATTCTCTTGCTTTAATTTAGGGGAATAAATGAAAGTTAAGTGCTCAAGTGCTACAGTAAAACATACCACATGCACTGCCGCGAGCTCCTTGACCAGTTTGTCTCGAATGTGATCCGCTGTTATGGCCATTTCAGCTTAAACTAAACGGTACTAATATTTTAAAGTTCCTAGAGGAGTAGATTTGGAGATATTTTTCGTGCTAGTCTCATGGCAAGTGCACCCCGGAAGCGTTTGATTGGAGTGCAGTCAGCAGAAAATATAATAATTTCCCGTAGACATACAAACCTACAGAGTTTAAAACAACGGGGCAGTGTAAAAGAAAAAAAATATCATAGGATAAATATAGAAAACTAGCTGATAATAAATATTATTTACAGAAATAGGGCGAACTAGCCTTTAAAATGACAGGTAAAATGTCCAATCACTAAGCTGCACTGAAATTGTCCACCAATCCCGTACAGGAGAAAGCAAAAAAGGCGAGCTTTATTTGTTTGAAGGAGCGAATCACACCGGGAGATGCCCTTAAAGAATGCCTAATTATAAATGTTATTTTTTTTAAGTAAACGTACATTTCTGGCAAAAAACTTTACTTCAGGCCATACATATGTAACTGTTGATATTTAGACAAGATAATATTAATAACTGTTGCCATTATTCGTAGAAGAACGTTAAATCAAGAGGTATTATCTTTCAGGCATAGAAAGGGGCTACTAAAATGTATTTGTTTACATCCTGTGGTCCTTTCATATGCTGATCTGATCCTATCAAACAATGAATTTAACAACGAATCTCGCTTTGTAAAATGTTTTTCTTGTAATTAGCGGAAGGTAGATCGGGTATGGATTTAGGGTTTAGATTAGTTTTTTTAGTTGGATATAAAAGGAGCACATTCCTCAACAAACTTATGTAAAATGTAAGATTTGTGAATGAATGCTAGTGGTGAACAATGGTAGTTGAAGTAGAGAGCTTTTATGGTGTTTACATGCTGTACTGCACCAACCCTAAATTCAAAGGGCGAATCTACATCGGCTTCACCGTGAACCCCGAGAGGAGGATTGGGCAACACAACGCGGGGAGACACCGAGGGGGCGCCAAGAGGACCAGCGGACGAGGCCCATGGCAAGGATCATATGAATCTGCATTTGTTTCAACACTTTTATATTTGGTTTAATGGCTGTTGTGTTTGTAGGGAAATGGTTCTCATCATTCATGGCTTTCCTTCTGATATTGCTGCACTGAGAGTAAGTCTGAGCAGTATAATTAACCTACAGTTATTGCAACTATTTAATCGACATTTATTTTCAGAGAGCAGTCGTGTTCTCTTACAATAGTCATACTTAAAATACTTACTTAGACTAGAGAGACTTAGTCTCGACTTAGACAAACTTTATTGATCCACAAGGGAAATTATTTGGACACAGTAGCATCACAATATAATATTATAACAAAGAGCAAAAATATAAATGGTAATAATCAATTCTAAATAAGTAATAAAAAAAAGATAGCAAGAGAGGTGTCAAATAAGACATAATTATATAAATGTGCATATACAAGACGGAATAAAATAGATAAGTGATAAAATAGAAAATCACAGCTTTATACAACACATCACAGCAAGACAGTGCAACAGTGATCTGATGACTGACAGGACATAGGGTTTTCTGTTAAATAAGGGTGACTTGCTGTACAGTTGTAGGGAGTATTATCTGTTACATAAGGGTGAGTTGTTGAACAGTTGTAGTCCTGTGTCTCTCACTGTTTGAGTGGAGCAGTAGGAGCCTGTTGGAGAATGAGCTCCTCTGTCTCTCTATAGTCTGGTGCAGTGGGTGAGCAGGAGTGTCGATGATGGAGATCAGATTGTCAGTTTGTCACTTCTAGAGAGTTACATACACTCTTTAAAGTAGATTTTTATGAAACAAAGTACAAAAGCATTTCCTTTATCCACTTCATCTTGTCTTTCTCTGTCAGTTTGAGTGGGCCTGGCAGCATCCACACTCCTCTCGGCGGCTGACCCATGTGACCAGACGCTCTAAGAAAGAGTCGAGTCTGGAGTTCCATTGGCGTGTGTTGTCCAACATGCTGCGGGTGTCACCGTGGAACCGCCTGCCCCTCACTGCTCGCTGGCTCAAACAGGAGTACAGGATGGACTTCGAGCCTAGCCTACAGCCTCCTCTGCACATCCCCATTGCTTTTGGCTGCGTGCGGGCCAAGAAGAAGCCTATGCTGCCTTCTGGAGAGGAGCAGGAGGAGGTGTCCTGGTGTTCTCTCTGTGGACGAATTGTTAGGGTAAACATCTCACTGTGGCTGGACAGGGGGTTAGGTGTTGTGATGCTGTTATAATAATCTGTTGTATCAGTAAAGATAAGCAGATGCAGTCCTACCAGATATCAGTAATTTTGAAAATTTTAAATAGAGTTGATATTCTGAATCTGAGCTTAACGATAGAAATGTAACAATGTGGAAAGGCTCTTTTATCTACAGACATTTTTTAATTATTGACCCTATCTCCAAAATGAATGCAATACAAGTAAATAAATCTTTCCTTAGGGGTCAGAGAAGCTGAGCTGTTTTCAACCATCGTGCACAATGAAAAGCCACATGAGCTGCCTGGCCAAATCCTTCCTGAAGTCTGAGCCTGCTCAGCTGCTGCCTGTGGAGGGGCAGTGTCCTGTGTGTCATACCACAGTGCTGTGGGGAAGCCTCATCCGTCACAAACATGGCTGCTTTGGAGACCTGGAGGAAATCGCGGCCCCCTCATCACAGGTATGACACAGTTTTTAATCATTTGATTTTGTTGAGCTTGAAAAATGGTATAGTAGAATATTTTCTGTTCTCTCACAGAGTCACTGGGCAGATGAGCTGCAGATATAATGAAGAGGAGCAATATGAACCTACAACCACTTGAATTGTAAAGAATCGTGTAATGTAATTCTATTTTAACAACATTTTCTGCTTCATGAGTGAAGCAGAAAATGTGAATATGTAAAATATATGCTTTCAGTATTTATATTTGTAATAAAATTATGCATTTATATCTTTATTCCAAAAAACAAATCCTAAAACTACATCCAAACCAGTGTAGTAGAAATGGATGACTATTTATGTCGTAAAAAAAATCTTTTTATGTCTTTGTGTAAATGCTTTTAGTCTATGTCAGAGATAAGGACCAGTCATTAACAAGGCTCACAAAACTCTTTCTTATTTAACCTGTTTTCAAGTGTAAAAGTTGATTAAATCATGGTTCTGAAACAAAAGTTACTCTGCTTTGATGATTTATTAAAAATAAGTTTATTGATACAATATAAAGTATAAAGAAAATATGTATTAATATTTTACAGTATGTTCGAGTTGACACTTAAGTTTGCATACCAACCCTCTTTGCCAATGGCTTTTTGTTTATTCATATTCATATTTCTAGTCATACTTGTCATACGAGTACACCAGAGGTTGTGACTTGTTAATTTTACAAAGTTACCGTGGGAAAATGGAGATTTTTTGCTGCTATGGCCACACATCCTGTAATACAAATCTGCAAAAACATTAATTTAGTTTCAGCATGGTATAAAGGGGCAGAGGAGTAAAATGTATAACTAATTCTTGTGAATTTTAATAGATAATTTCCAATCCGAGCTGAAGGCTACTGATCGTACCTACAAAAAGCGATGAAATATAGTAAGCTGGCAACAGATCATCGCTGTCTAGACTAGTGGCAAATAAGGCTCGTGTGGAAGAGGCTCACGCATGTTTGGGTGATCTGGACATTGGCAGGGACAAAACTGTTATTCGTGTAAAGTAACACAATAACAGAGAAAAGACAGACCCACCCCCAAGGCCTTGGGCTCTCCCTCCAGAAACTTGAGCTTTCTTTGCTCGTTCGTCTGGAAGGACAAAGACATGAGAGGACTGTCGGACAGTGCCGTGTCCGCCTCCACAAGAGCCGCTTCTGCAAAAACACAATTTTACGTCCTCAGCTGACCCTGCGTTATTGCAAGCATCATGGTTATTCATGCTTATTCATGCTTACTCATGTTTTACTCTGGCCAGATTTCTATGGGTCGATTTGTGACAGCGATTTTACCATATACGGTCTGTGGTATTTACCTGCCATGTGTGCAGTGGACGTTGTGCGTCACAGATGCGCTGTTCGCACAGATTTCACGTGCTACTTTCAGAATTTTCTCCTTCCGTCTCATCTCCCCCTCCCTCTCATTTCTCTCGCTCTCTCATGCCTTTGCAGTTAGCTGTGCACTGGGAAAGACTGTAAATATGTTCTGAGAATATGTAGTCAGAAATAATACACTTTATTTGATTATGTTAGATCTCAAAAATGATTAAAAAAAAAATCACATCATAACTGATGGATAGCACGAAGTATCTGTCACTTGTACATTCATAGTGGAAATAAAAAAAAATTTTTTTTAAATGAATAAAGAGCAGGCCTACATACTTGTATTGTGTTTGTGCAAACACCCAATTCTGAGCATGACAATGTCCATATATATGCCCCCCAATATACAAAATGGCACAGAAACTTAGTTACAAAAAAAAAAGTTTATTCTTCATTAGTTTGTTTGTGGTGTCAAAACTGTGGTGTAGGGGCCGAATGCTGCCCTTGGACCTATTTTACTGCACCTATAAGGCTTCCTGCTGAACTGGCTCAAATTATGATGGTATTTCTGTATTCTGCATCTATAAGAACATTCTAGTCCAATAGGATCCTAACCCCAATCACAAATGTTTGTTCAGACATGACTTGAGTGAGTTTGTAACCCTCAATACATTTGTGGAGTCAGTTAAAGCTATGGTAAATGCTCCGTTTGATTTATTCACTGCACTATCATGTGAAACAAAATAACTCATTCTTATAAGAACAGACGACCTCACCTTTGTGTTGTGTATGTCCCAAATACGTTTGCACACCCTTAATATCTCACTGAACAGTACTATAGAAACATATTTATACAGTTTATTGAAAATATCTATATAGTAATACAACAATTGGATACTCATTACATAGTCAAATACTGCGCTGGTAACATGTTTGAGATCATCCCTCCTTTTCACCCTTGAGCTGGAGAGGCTTGTATTGTTATCACCGGCTGTAAACAACAAAATATATTGGGCTGTAAAATGAGTCATTATTGATCCTTATTATTAAGAATTGAATCTAGACGTTTGTGTACCAGTTTGTTGTAAAATGCTTTTGTATGTACGGTATGTGTGTTTATGTACCACTTTTGCAGCCGGAGAGCAGCAGTTGACCACCTTACAGGCATAGATCGCCAGAGTGACAGAGATGGACAAGAGAGTCACCTGGAGGATCACCAACTCCGTAAACAAGTGCAAATGGGCAGCCTGTGAGTGAACAGACAGAACCAGTGAAAATAAAATGTGAAGATGTAAAAAGTAACAACAAAACAAGATCCCATACTGTCATAAGGTTTAGCTTTATTTTAGTTTTTAGTGACAAACACTTGCATCAATCTTTCTGCAGTATGCTCCCATCTCCTCGGAAAATGTGGAGTTGTCGAACGAGTCTAAGTGTAAGCAGTAAAACTCTTCCATTGTGGCCAGTGCGAGGACCAGGTTGAATAGAGATGCTGTAGTGGCGACAATCTCCATTCCCACACAGGCCTTGAGCTGAAATCCAAATACAACTCATTATTATTTTGGAAAATGTGGAGTTGTCCTATACCATATGATGTTTAAATCTGCTATTTAAAGCTGGTTATTATTGAGTATGGGAAATGCTCCAATGTTTAGTCTGTTGTTTTAATTTGTGCCATGTAACCATTTTTAAATAGTTTTATTACATTATTACAAACATTTTGCCCATTTTAAAGGTTCTATGTTATGTAAATTTAACTTTCGTAAGTTTTAAGTCATGTTAGAATATTATTACTTCATCAGAAACAAAGCTGGAGTTGTGTTTTGTTTCACACGTTTGAGTAACCCTTGTAACTCCAGCTTTGTTTTTGATTAGGAAATAACATTACATACATTACAATTAACAAAATAGAAACACCATGCTATTTGAAAGTTTAAATATTAATAATATTACAAAATGAAAAAGGGAATACAAATACAAGTTGGCTTTGGCGTTAAGTCTATCACACCACATTCACTTCATTCACACATTGACCAAGTGGGTGTATTTTTAGTACCTACCGTTGGTAGGTGCAGGTTTTTAGATGCAACAGCTACACTTCCTGCAATGAAAATCTGCAGAGTGAAGCCATCATTTAGAACAGGAATACTCAGAGGTGGGTAGTCTAGCCAGAAATTGCACTCAAACAATATTACTCAAGCAAGCAGAGTACAAAGTAGTGGTCTTAGAAATGAAATGAGTAAATAAATACATTTCCAAAAATTAAGTAAAAGTTCAGTGAGAAGTGCTATTTCTTTCAAAAGTTACTCCAGTAAATGAGCAAATTTACTGAGTACTACCCACCTCTGGAGCTACTTGTGAATCAAGTAAACTTTACGCTAACAAGAAAGATCTGCAGTTGTCTGATACTGTAGTCATAATGAGGGGCTTATATTACTTACCAATATGGATGAAATGATAAAAAACAGAAAAGTTTCACTTCTGCTCACACCATTGGCAATAATCGAGGCCATACAACTGCTCTGGAATATGCTCAGACATATTTGGGTGATCTAGATATTGGAGATTTCATTGTTAATATGATCAACAGGAGAGTGGACAACAATGTAAAGACTGATCACCCCCAGTGCTTTAGGCTCTCCCTCCAGAAACTTGAGCTTCCTCTGTGCATTCTTCTGGAAGGATAAGGACACCAGTGGACTGTTGGACGATGCAGGCTCAGCTTCTACAATCGCTGCCTCTAAAAACAGATCATAAACTCATGATTATTTTTTTAATAAGATTCCCGACAAGCCTGAACTGGCAGACTGGTTTTAGTTATTATGGATGTTAGTTTAACTTCTACAATGAACACTTATTCCAATCACATAAATATGGCCTCAACTTTGGTTATAATTCAACCCCAAGTTCAGTGTTCTTGCCCTACATCTATAAAGTCTCCTCTGGACTTGCTGCGATGCTTTTAATTTTTTGCCTCTTCAAGCAAAAGTGTAACTGATGATGTTAAAAATCTATATATTTTTGAGTAAATAATAGACTAAATATAAGGAGTAACACTGCGGCTGTGAGGTAGACTGAATCACAGTTCTGTATGGACATACAGTATATATGGACATGGATTGTGCCCCGACAATTTTAATTCAAAGTTAAAACTCTGAAAATTAAATGTCAGACTTGTTAGTTAGTAGTTAGTTGTTAGTTATAAGTGCAAAATATGATGAACTCGAATTCATGGAACTCCTACAAGACTGAGAAAACTAAAAATAACTCCTTTATAGAATCCGGAAACAAAACATTTAAACATTCAGACTAAAAGACAGAATCATCCGTGCGCATGAAAAGAGTCTGTGTAAAGGACTGGATTTGATTACATCCAGATGTGGTCATGCGCAGTGTGCTCCAAAAGCGCGCCGTGTGCTCCAAAAACAGCTCTTCTTTTGTCTTGTAGGCCTTGGCCTGTTAGTGTTTACCTGCCATAGTGGATGTGCACGCAGTGCGTCAGTCAGCCGATGTCATAGAAGATAGATACACTCCGTGTCCCGTGATTTCTCGCTCAGTCCAGTTGAGCAACACTTTGACAGTCAACTGTCTGATGCCTGTGCTGTGCTTAACTCTATGCTCACGCCCTGTGTGCGACACATCGAGTCTATGGTGCAACCCGAGTCCCACCAGGATCCTCTTAACCCTTACCTCGGATGAAAAATAATTTTATTAAGTAACTGTAATGGAAGAATCACTTTTCTGGACTCCAGAAAAGTGATGTGTGGATGTGTTATGGCTGTGTTATGGCTTGTCCTAAATATTTATCTCCATGGAGACAAATAGGCCCTAGGCCAAGTAGCAGGTCAGATCTGTAGAGAGGCGAGCCTGCTGACCGTATGTTTGTCGATATATATTTTTAATGATAAAAACACAGGAAGCCTATTAGAATAGATGCAATAATAACAGTGTAAAATGTATCAACAAAGACAAGACTCCTGAGGTTAGACATTGGGAAACACGTTTATTTGAGCCACAGGGAAAATAATGCAATTTTCAGCGCAACACACTCCTCTACTTCCATAAGGATAGTGTATGTTCTGGTGACACCTACTGGACATAAATTAAGTCATATCCCTCATGTTTAACTTCTAATGCATTTCAACATTGTACCAGAGTGGTTAAAATTTCCTGAGAAATATCTGTGCAATCAGAAATAGTCAGAGGGGCATATTTTCTACATCGTGTGAAAAGAAAGTCAGTTCACAATTTCAAGTGCAAGCCGCAAGTAGCCAAACAATATTATTAACAATATTATTAACAATATTCTATATTCATGTATGCATACTAGCAGAAGTTTAAAGTCAGTATTATAGTAACAAAATCAGTGCATTTCTATTATTACCCTGACAAAATCCTTTAAATTTATTTCTTACATGTATCTTTAAAATGTATTCCCTTATTTTGACATTAAAATGTAAAATTCCTACACTTAATTGCTCTTTGAAGCGTGAGTAAGATAAAGCACAATTATCAATATGAGGATGTGTCAATATAAAAAGTAAAAAAAGAAATCAAATTCCTTTTATGTTCCTGTATGATTAGGTTTAAAGAATTATCCCTTTGCATTTAGTTGGCATTGTTCCCTTTTAAAAACACTGAAAGAATAAAAAAGGAAATCCCAAATGAGGCAAGAAACACAAATATTCCACCTCACATTTACATATCTATCTTAGAGCCCCGAGAGGTAACAGTCTCACAGGTCCTGGGTTCAGGTGCCTTCTGTTGACCCCTCTTAAAGGGACTGGTATCCGTCAGTTCTCTTCTTCCTGGCCAAAAGGTAAGCAATGACCACGACCACGATCAGCACTAGTAGAGTTATCCCCACAGCTATAGCCACGCGGTAGTTGTTTTGGTCAGCTGGGCATGGGTCAGCTAGAAAACACAGAAAATAGAAAGTGTCATTTTATATTTCCTGCTAAGCAAATATAAAGACACTGTGAGAAGTGATAAGTGGTCTTCAAGCTTTTGATTTACAGGAAGCTCCACAACGGAACAGCTTATACAACTATGGGGAACACTACAGTCAATTAGGGCTGCATATGTGAATTTCTCATTAATATTTCCAATAGACTTACAACAACAACAAAAAAAAGGAACATATTTTATTTGCATTTAATTAAAGAGAACAAGAGCTATAATTGTATGTAAATTTGTTCCTGAAACTGTTGAAGCTGGACTGAAAACAAGTGCATTATGGACATTAGTTACCACATTGCAGATTAGCCTCTGTAGTGCCTTTAAATTCTTAATATTAGAATTTCTTTTAAAGTTTTTTGGGAAAAAATAATGGTGCACTTTCTTAAATAACCTTGGTGGGCTTTGAAATGGTTGAGTTTACTTGTATCTCTCATCAAAATTTGGTGTCACAATTGAAAGAAAGCATTAAAGGACCAATTTTACGATATTTTCCGATCTATCTTACAATGTTTCCTCATCACAAACACATCTGGAGTTGGGCTTTGTTTCAGTCACACACATTTAACACACAAACCCTGCACATTTAGTTCTTCTCTTAAACAGAAAACACTTTTTTCCTTATTGTGATGTCAGGTGGAAATACAGGAAGTGCTCCACACACCTGGAATTTCCAATCTCTACTGAACTAAAGGTAAAAGTAATCTGTTGACTTGAAAACTACATGACATTTACGTGACATCAAAGTGGAACAGGGCATTTTGAGCTTTGGAGATGTAGACAGACTAATAATAAAGTGCTACTCAAACATGTGTGAATGAAACAAAACACAAAAATGTTTTAGTTGAGATAACACGGCTTTAAAAAGTTCACAAACTGTTACACTGGTGTGATGATGAGAACTTAAATAAATAAATAGAAACATAAAGTAGAATTTAGAAATAAGATTCTATTTCTATTTCTATTTTCACTTCTTCATAAAAAAGCTTTGTCATCAGCACAGCAGATTAAGTCATGAGATGTCACGAGTCACTGCTGTCAGTCAAAACCTGATTGAGCCACATGCTTTCGGGAATGATAGCTGTGGTGGACACGCTTACAGCTCTGTTTCCCTCCCTGATCTACACCCACAGTTTCATTTGTAATACTCATTAGACGTGACGATGTGCTATTTCCATTAATGAACTTACTTGTGCCGAACTCGTTGCTATTGGTGAAATTGAAAGCCTGCATCCGATCGTGATTAATGTCGAGGTAGAGTCCTTGGCCCATGTAAAGAGACTCCTTTCTGCACGAGTACGACTTTCCGAGCTTGGCCTCAAAGACCTGAATGGACTGGTTGGTCACGCTGTAGGTTTGGACTGCATTGCCTAGAGTAAAAGCAAACAAAGAAATTTAACAAGAGCCACTCACGAAAACAAAATCACCAGTTATGGAGACAAACTAGTTCTACCGCATAGCTTTTACTCTTCCTGGCATCACATGGTAGGCTTTACAGTAACATTGAACTACATAGCTCACCCAAACAAGGAAGTATGATTGTCCTCGATGTGACATGTTTTTGAAAGACCAGTCTAGTCACTGACCTAATTAAAACCTTTTACATTCAATAACTTTACCCTTTAATTAAAATAAAATGTTGCTTACTTTTTTTGCTAAAGTCATAGGTCAGATTGAAAGCCAGCTTGTCCACAAAGGCCATCTTCGCGGTGGCATTCTAAAGTTGGAAAAAATATATAATAAATGGTCGATTATTGGCTTCTAAAACCCACATCCACTGCTCATTATGACCATGTTTACGTCGCAAAAGAACCTTACCTTTAAGTAGGAGAAAGTTATGTTCAGTTCCTTAGAAATCAGTTTTAGAGTGGCGTGGTTGTCATTACAGTCCCCTGCTGTACGGGTCATATTTGGGAGCAGGAGGAACGTCCCATTGGCCTATGAGAAAGACAGAGAGACAAGACACCTCTTAAATATTCATCTACTTTGTAAATGAGTATGTAATTGTTCATAAACAGCCTTCTTTGTTGTTCTAGTTTGCAACCTGATTACTCATTTATAGGTCAGGACTGTAAAATTCTAATCAAGCCACCGGAGCTTTGCATTTGTTATTACAAGGTGCAATAAGGAAATAAATATTTAATAACACTGGTCAAATGTGGGGTAACTTGCCTCTTTGGAAGCCAGTCGGATCCTGAGCTCCATCTGAGCCATGAGGCAGCGATGTTTGCCGTTGTCCAAGGTGTAGTTACCCACAGTGCTGTTGGTGACCTTTGGGGGCTGGGTGGTGGTGGGTGGTAAGGTTGTGGTTGATGCTGTGGTGGTCTTGGCTGTGGTTGTGGTGGATTTGGTTGTTGTGGTGGTTTGGTTGTGGTGGTGGGTTTGGTTGTGGTGGTGGGTTTGGTTGTTGTGGTGGTGGGTTTGGTTGTGGTGGGTTTGGTTGTCGTGGTGGATTTGGTTGTCGTGGTGGTGGTGGATTTGGTTGTTGTGGTGGTTGGTTGTCGTTGTGGTGGTGGATTTGGTTGTCGTGGGGTGGTGGGTTTGTCTGTCGTGGTGGTGGTGGGTTTGTCTGTCGGCTGGGGGCTTTGTTGAGCTGGAACCACGGTACCAGAAGGTTTCGATCTTGCCAGCGCCAATGCTGTAATAAAAATACACATAATCTAATAATACGGTCATAACTATAATTAACGTTCCCGTGTTGACTCTGCACACCTGACTGGGCGACAGGATGTGTTGGAGGAGAGGCAAACGTTTTTAAGAAGACTCCCGCACACTGTCTAAAACGATTTACTTATACATGTTAATCAAGACTAAGAGCGTGCAGGAGTCTTCTTAAAAACATAATTATCACAAAGCAAAAATTTTGATTTTTTAGTTTCAAACACCATTTTTGGGAACACATTTTTACCACAAAATACAGAAATTGTGTTCATCTTGGCTCTGAATTTGGGTTACAAGTTGAATGTGGAAAAAAATCATAGTGTGGACCTTTAAAATGCCTTTTCATATGGTACACAAAATTGAATCTTGTGAGATTTAAGCCCTGTTATAATAATGCTACCTCACCAAAAACAAGCCTGGAGTTGTGTTTTGTTTCATTCACACATTTGAGTAACTATTTATTATTAATCTGTCTAAATAGCCAATGGCGGTTTTCAAGTTAATGTCTACACAGCAAAAACTGGAGGGTTAAAATTTTAGGGTAAAATATTTCAGAGTTGTTTTTAACACCAAAAGTGTTATTTTAACTATTTGAAAGTTAAATGTGGGTTCAAGTTGGGGTTATTTGCCGGAGTTGATGTAGTTGAGGTTAATTCAACTTCCTCTAGTGTTAATTCAACTTCTCTTAGTGTTACTTCAACTTTTCTTGGTGTTAATTTGGCTCCTCCCATTCACCACTTCAAAATCTTGTGAGAGAAGACCAGTTTGAACCAGTTTTGTTCATAATTTCATCTTAAATTAACTAAAAGTATAAATAAAATAAAACACCTCTGTGCATTGTTTAGCTAAATCAGGAACTGTACAAAGCATTATCTGTTTACTCTCAAAACATTAAAATAACTCTGGATTTCGGGGTTAAACAGGAACTTTGGTCCAGTGTTACTTAATTAACATTTCCAAAAATGTTAAATTAACTCTAGAACAGATTGGACTCATATAAACTCTGAGAACATTTTAAAGTTGATTCTGTGAGAGTCAATTATAACACTCCACATTTTGCTGTGTACCATTTGTTTAGTAGATATTGGCAATTCCTGATCTGAAATTATCCAAATTGTTTCTAGTGAAGGTGTAGGAAGTAAAAACACAGTGGAGCACTTCCTGTATTATCACATGACATCAAGTGGTGGAACGGAAGTCAGTCTAAATATGCAAAGGTTTGTCTGTTAAACACGTGTGAATGAAACAAAACACAACTTCAGGTTTGTTTATGATGAGCAAGTAACATTAAAACATAGATCATAAAATAGTGTAATATATTTTAATGCTCTCGGGTATGATAAAAATGTATAAACAGTTGAAGTACTGGTTATGGCTTGTATGAGTACCAGGAAATATGACTGACATGTATTGTTTAGAATATATTTTTATAACATGTGACTGTGCAAGGTAGGAAAACCAGGTGAACCTGCCAGTCAATCACATGACTGCTGTGTTGTCTGAACAAGAGCAAGATTGTCACAGATTAGTGCTCACCTTGAACCATAACTAGGTTAAAATCCAAAACTTTTTCCATTGCAAAGTTGCTCTTTGCGCTCGTTGTCTCTGCTTTAGAGGCTCACAAACAGTAAAGCCTCATATCTAATCAGAGCTATTGTTGACTTAACTCGGTTTTATTGTGTTGTCAACTGGCAGACACCAAAACAAAGTCTACCTAAATGGTTAAAATGTTTTGTAATTCAACCAAAGAGTACAGTTAATTTAATTGCCGTACCCCATATTAACAAAGCAAAAATATAAACATCATAAACAAAACATATCTGAAATAGATTTGTGACTCTCTTGTGAAAGTGCGGACATTTTCTCTTCCTCAAAAGAATCCAGGAAGTTTCTGGGAAGTCCGATATGCCTGACTAAGGACTGATTTACACACGCAAATTAAATTCTCATATTGTTATTGGTTATTTTTTAGCAGAAACTTTAATAGTTGGATTAGGGTATTGTGGTTTATGCATAAATTGATGCGTTTTCATCAGTAGACGCATTGTATTAGTTAATGCAAAACAAAAACAACAAAAAAACTAGGATACTGTTATTTTAATAGTCTAGATGTTGTGTTTCTTACCGCAGAGGCTCAAGAGGAGTAGCACGGTGGTAGTCTTCATATTTGCGCAGGTGTAAATATTTGTTTCACAGGGGACCAGAACTCAGAGACGCACTGAGATCAGCTTCAACTGCGTGTGAACGTGAAGGAGCACTCCTCACCTATAAACCCACAACAGTGTCAAGTTCAGCGAGCGCACCAAGAACCACCTGCACTGCCCATCAAAATAAAACCACTTGCTCTTTATCACAAACTACAAATAAAATAAACAACGCAAACTGACGGTAACTATCACATTTTTACTATTGTGTAAAAAATAACTTATCAACTGCAAAAAGGGACCTCAAAAAGTGTGAAAAGGTAACATGAAATTGACAAAGGAAACTATTATTGTTGAAGAATCAGACAATCATGCGGAAGTGGTGGGTTTAAGTCCTGCATTAACAGGCCGTGACGCGTAACACAAGAAACGAAACCAAAGAGCAAAATGTGGTCTGGAAGGTAAGATAAAGGTTATATGCGACTTGAAAGTAGTTTGTCAATGCACAACATAATAAAAGCGTATAAAATAAGACAGGTGGTTATTTACCTGCCAGGTGTACACTTAGAGTGCCTCCAAGTTTGACTACTAAAGTATAGGCTATTTTTTTTATTAAGTTGTTATCTACAAAAGTATAACAACTACAGTCAAACAATTTTGTGACTAACAAATCTGACAAATTACTTTCTGAGCATTTTTCGGCATATGTAGGTTAATAAAGTTCATATTCAGTAGGCCTCGGCTATTGTCTTTAAAATTGCTAGTCTATTGTAATCTACCTAACTTTATGGTCAACACTCCCACCTAGTGCTTCATTGCAAATGGTATCACAAACACGTGCAGGCTTGTAGTGCCATGTTTTTCAGTGTCTTAACTATCTAGGCATTTGTCCAAAATATAGAGGCTTAAATTAATAGATGGGCTATTTAGACAGTTTGGAAACAGAGAAAGTGAAAGCTTAGGCCAAAGTTAATGTAGAATTTTTCATTTTATAATATCAAAATATCAATATGTGAACGCAGAGTTTCCACTCTTTTTCACTGACAAAATTTCAAAACTTTTCCATGACCTAAAGTGAATTTTCCATGACTTTACGGCACCTACATGTGTAGAATTGATCAGACTTTTAGGGCTAAATATGAAATGTTAACTCTCTCAGCTCATCTTATGGTTTAGTATTATAGTTTTTTAACATTCAAAACACTCAGTGCATTTATTGTCGTCTCTTTTAAACAAAAGGTGCATACATTCAGAAATAACCATAATAGCCTCATGAGAACTTAACAGAACGCTGTAGTTGCGTGAAAGAGATACTAAAATTCCATGACTTTTCCAAAACTTTCATTGAATTTACAAAATTCCACGACTTCTCCAAGCCTGGAAAATGACATTTTCGATTTCCATGACTTTTAGAGGATTTCCATGACCGTGGGAACCCTGTTTACAACATGTGAAAAAACGTATTGGCTATCATAATAAAACCAAAACAAAACATTCATTTAATTTCGAAACTCATTTCAGGAGGAAGTCAATCCATCCAGCTAATAGACATTGGGCTTATGATGAAATGACATATATTTGCCATTTGGCTGTGTAAATAGAATATAAACCTGTGATATCTGATAAATGTAGTCTGTATCATTTGCTGATTGGGCTTCATTTGGCAGTCAAATCTAAAACTACAGCAAATTCTTCTATCGTCTTCATTTCCCGGGAAAAGTCTGTGTAAGTCCTGCCCACGTCTCCACCATCCCAATCACACAGCTCCCAGAGCCCCAGGCCCACCCATGGGTCCGCCTCTAGTGACGACACAAGAGAGGAAACTGTGCACTTCCATAAAAGGAAAATACTCCCGCATGCGCAGTGGCCTGAGTTTTGTTTGAAGTGAACTGCTGCCTGGAACTGCCCTACAAGCTGCAAAGTCGCCAGGCATTTCATTCTGCAGCTTATTTTTTTGTACCTTTTGCATATCTTGTTTTGAGGTCCTCTATGTATCGTCGGAACCATGTTAGGCCACCAATTTCAAAATGCCGACAAGTCGCAACAACTGGTCAACTATGTGGAGGATTATCTGGAATGTGTGGAGTCCCTGCCTTTGGACATACAAAGAAATGTTTCATTGCTTCGAGAAATCGATGCAAAGTATCAAGGTAACGTGCTACTGTTGTGACTTTGTTCATCTCATAGGGTTGTGAGTCTGCTACACGGACGTCTCTCGCTGGGTGTGTTTGGAGTAGCCACCGCCAGTTGTGTGTTCCCATTTTGCAAAAAGCTAGCGTCTTTTTCGTAGCCTTTAATGAAAGCACACAACTATGCCTGTCCAAATGCAGTCGATTCTGTTTACGTCTCGTGTAAAATGGTCTAAACCGCGCGCCTGTCTCACACACGGCGCTTTCTGTGTTGGTCACTAATTCGTTTCGCTCGTGCCAAAATGGAGTTTCACACCAAATCATACTTTGACTCTGTATGACACACACATTTTACTTATTGTCCAGTGTCTACGAACGCCTTACAAAGCTTACAAGGCAACGTGATTGTGCCAGGCAAAAGGCTGCCTTTAACTTCTCGAAAAACCGTTTAAACCTGTGCGTTTTGTTCGCGTACGTGCAATTGCTGATGGGGGAAACTAGTGGGTTCAATCTAATCCAATCTTTAAACAGGGAAAAATGGCCCGTGTCGTGTTCGATGTTGCTTGATCAGGTTTATGTAGAATGGTTTTGGAGCTTTAAAGCTGATGCAGTTTGTAAACTAACTAGGCTAGCCTATCTTTTGTCGAATTGCGAAGACCGCTACGATTAGCCTGCAGAAACTATCCAAGAATCCTAGAATAATCCAAGCAAGAATAATATCCTGCTAAACGGTGTCAATCATTGCAACAAAAACCTCCTGCAGCCCACAGAAAGGCTCTGTACAATCCGTGACCGTGAGCCATTCTGAATTGGCTACAGTAAAAACACGGCCTTTTCACGCGGTGTAATCCTCCATGACATTAACACTGCTTTAGGTTTCAGGTTTTTCCATAGAAAAACGTCTTTTCAGTTTATTAATGCGATATTGCCCCGTCGCTGGAACAGTGAAGCGCAGAACACCGGACAGCTCCTCTGCTGAGAGGGACCTCCTCAGACTGGCACCCCCAACAACAGCTGACCCACGTCACTTCCTGCAGCGTTCCCCTCGTCGTAAAAACAGAGTGTTCCAATATTACAGTTTTATTTAAAACAGGGTTAAAATCAGTTTGGTCACACCTGGCATTAAGTGAAATAATTTCCCTGATTAAAGAAGGCAATTCTTCTGTATGAATGTTGTATTGAAAGTCTGTTTTGTTTTGCAGAGGTGCTGAAAGAGGTGGATGAAGTATTTGAGAAATACAAAGAGGAGCAGGATGTGGCACAGAGGAAACGCCTGCAGATCCAACTGCAGCGCGCCCTCATCCTCAGCCAGGAGCTGGGAGATGACAAGATTCATGTGGTGACCCAGATGACTGAGCTGGTAGAAAACCGCTCCCGCCAGATGGACTCTCACTCCCTGTGTCTGCAGGACCCTGGTAATGAAGCAGAGAGGGTCTCAGTAGAGAGACGCTCCAGTGTCCAGGAGTCCCCAGCCCCTGAACGCAGCTCAGCCCGCCGCCCACGCAGACAGAGGAACAGCGAGAGCCGGGACTCCAGCCACCCCTCAGCCAATGGCTCTCTGGTAGACGACCCAGTGGAGGAGCTGCCCATCCCTCCTCCAAGAGAGAAGAAGTCCAAGTCTGCCAAGAAGAAGAAGCGCAAGGCCAAACAGGAGCGCGACACTTCCCCAGTAGACTTCGCCATTGATCCCAATGAGCCTACCTACTGTCTCTGTGAGCAGGTGTCCTACGGCGAGATGATTGGCTGTGATAATGACCAGTGTCCCATTGAATGGTTTCACTTCTCATGTGTGGGGCTAACATACAAACCCAAAGGCAAGTGGTACTGCCCCAAATGCAGAGGAGACAATGAAAAGACCATGGACAAAAGCTTAGACAAAAACAGAAAAGACCGTCGCTCCAGGTAGTACCACTCTTTGTGAACATTTGGTTAACAGCAGTTGACTTGTTGCAACAGCACAATCCGCTCCATTACTAGCAGCGCTTAATCAAGGACACTCTGGGAACACTGCATATCTTCATCTGCAAGGCTGAGGTTCCATCTGCACAAGAAGCTGATCTAACAATCATCAAGCTGTTCATTTAGAATTGGTTTCTTTTTTCAAGACTTTATTCATGTTGGACAAAGAAAGTTTGAATGATTTTCAACTCATGATTTATAATAACTTCTCAATTCCTTCAGTTCTCAAGCACATATACTCCTTTATTACAGACCTCAGAAGAGTTCCAATATTTAAGATTGATGTCTGCTGCCTTTCTATAATGACTCTATAGACAATATCTCTAACACGTACAGTATGTTTACAATAAATGGGATATTTAATTCAGTTGATTGACACTGGAATAGGATGTCATGTCTGTGGACTTTGATTTCATTTGTAACTATTGTGTATATTTCTTTTTATAGTCATTAAAAGTATTATTCAGTTGTAGTCTGCTTGACTCACACTGTGTTGGATAGATAGATGATGAAAGCTAAGAGGTTCCCTCTTCTTCACTGCTGCTGGACTCTTGAAAGAGGTCATCAGCTCGAGATCCCCAGTGGGTGGCGCGGGTGCTTCCAGAGGTGTAAGTGACGGTGACGAGGGCCGGGCTGTGGCTCAGGCCCAGCAGGACCCTCACCTGGCTCCTACTGAGAGGCCTCACACAGCTGACAGTGGAGTCCAGAGACAGAGTGGAGAGGAAGTGGCCCTGTTCCACGTCCCACAGACTCAAGTTTCCTAGAGGGTCAAATTTTCAATTGGTACATATAAAAAGATTCTGCTGTAGAAAAGTATCATGTCTTCTACACTAGACTAGATTTGCTTAAGTCATGGGTTATTTTGCCATGTCATTTCTAATAGGTTGGTTGCAATTACATTAGGTATTCAATAATGTTAATTCTGTGCTTTCTTAATATACAAGTGTTTTCCCCACATGGCAGCCAACAAGCCAAATAATAATTTTGTCAACATGTCCAGAGTTCAGCAACTATGGCCAACTGAAGTTTTGCTCCTCACCTTGATTAATTAATTATTACTATTATGTAACCATTTTATGTGTATTTTGATCCTGTTGAGATATTGAATCAGTGTAAACAGTTTAGATTAGAGCCAGAATGTTTTATATATGTTTGCTGATCACGCTCATACCTGACAGTAACAGGGCTTTGGTTCCTCTTTCAGTCATGTAAAGTGCACTGGAGGCTTCTATCGTCAGGCCCTCATAGCCACAAATGCTTTTACAATTTCTAGTGAAAGGCTCCCACACTTTAAGCCTAGATTTAAAAAAAAAAATGAACAGAATAGTTACTAAGATAAATTAAGATACATTTATAACTTTACAAAGGTAGTATTAAAAACATAACTAATAACCTAAATTAGTAGGGGACACTTTTTGTTATTAGTAGTTTCACATTGCCAGAGCTTACAGGCAGAGTACTCGTGGTAACCCGCTCTTGTGTGTCTCTGTGGTGACGTACGATTAACGCAGTGCAGATTTAAAATAGAACAGAATAGAATGAGTTACTTGTTACTTCCTGTCGCTCCAAAGACGACCCTTCTGGCATCATCGGTGAGCGCTACGCAACAAACTCCAGCTTCATCCCGCAGTTCTTGATCCACCTACAGACATTAAGACACATTTAAACAGATTTCACGTCATCACAACAATCTGGAGCAGGGGTGAGCAATTTTTTATTTTTTTTCCACGGGGCCACACGAGAAAGAGAAAATCTTATGCTTAACTCAATTCTGCTTAATATTAATTGAATTTCTTTATAAAAAGCAGTAAATATCATTGTTTTAACAAGCTGGTAAGACTGCTAAGAGTTTATGTTATGACTAAGCAATGAAAAAGTGAGGCTGCCTTACAAAAAATGTCATTTAAAAACACCTAAAATAAAAGCAAAGCAGCTTTAGAACATGCATGAGGTAAAATGATAAAATATATTTATTTTGTAATTCCAAATGAGCTTAAACGGGGCCGGTCAGAGGCAACCAAAGTGCTGTATGTGGCCCTGGAGCTTTACAATATCCAGGGCTGATCTAGAGTGTTAATTTAAAACTGTGCTAGGGATTATTTATACAGTATATGGCTGGGGTCTCCAACCTTTTTCCTCCTGTGAGCTAATTTAAACAAACAAACAAACAAAATGTCAGAGAGCTACTAATTTTAGTTGTCACCAGAAATGTTGTAGATATAAGAGCCACGTTGAGCTGAAGATGAGGTACAGTTAGATGTCTATAAAACATAACCCATTATCCAGTTATCAGTGCACTAAATTAGGCATCGACATGATACAGTTACAAAGGAAAAACAATATATGTGTTTTATTTAATATGTGTAATTCAGAAATCCCTTGGCGAGCTACTTGCAAGAGAGTGGAGAGCTACTGGCAGCTCCCGAGCTACAGGTTGGAAACCCCTGGTCTATGGTCAAGATTCTGTGGTAGAACTTGATGTTGCTGAACTGGTTTATTGTTGATATCTCTAATTACTGGACCTATCCACACCATGAAGTTTAATATCTTAATAGTATAAACAAGCAAAAGTAAATAATGTTCGAAAGCATTTCAAGCCATTAGAATAATGTGAAATCACGAAAAGGTCAATCAGTTAACAAAAAAAGTACATTTGCCAAAGAATTATTGAGACTTTGAAGTGTCATCACGCTTAGGGTGACCAGATGTCCCTATGTAACTGAGACAGTCCCAGTTTTGAGCCCTGTGTCCACTGTCCCAGCAGATTTATCCAAAACCAGTGATTCGTCCCAGTTTTATACAAGAAATGCCCCAGATGTCTCAATTTTTTACCAATTTGATCCCTGCCAACAGTAAAGAAAGGCATAAATTGTCATAAAATACAAAAAAGCTGCTTAAAAATGAAAAAAACACAAAGAAAATGTGACTATACTGACTCATGTTAATCATGAATGGTCTCTGCATATTAATTTTCCTTAATTACGCACTCGTTTCACAATTTTAACTTTACCAATCACCAAAAAATGGGTATATCTCAGTTTTTTATTTTGAAAATCAGGTCAGCCTAATCATGCTGGGGGTGTTCTGTAAGGCATTTCTACGGAGGGATTGTTCAGCAGTTTCAGTGGTGACATATGGCACACGTAAAAAAAAAAAACATAATGGATTTAAACAGCACATTTTCAGGAGCCCGTGATCAACAGGAGTATTCTTGGTCCTGTTTAGGTGTTTGACTTTCCACAGAAAAGGTGTGAACAACTGCAAAACTTGTGACTGTAATTTTATGTGTGAGAGACTTTAAAAAGCACAAATCTTCGACTGTAATTTTATGTGTGAGAGACTTTAAAAAGCACAAATCTTCTCACTTGTAGTTCCAACCAAATCAGCTCGTTCTGGTCAGATTCTGTTCCAATAAAGCTCAGATTAAAGTCTAATTTTAGTAACAGAGCTTCTAACAGAGTAGTGCTTATTATGACATCAACAACCTATTTCTTTCAGGATTTCCAAGATGTTGATTTTTTTTTTTTTATAGATACATACTTTTATAGGTACATACTTTTCCACTTTGAAGGTCCCACAGTGTGAGACCAGGGCAGTGATCTTCCTGGTTGTAGTTGGTCAGGACTAAATGGTCACCGCTGTGTGTTAAAGCCGCTGTACGGAGATTAAGAAGGGAATTTTTGTCCTCCAAAGTGTGAAGATGCTCTTGGGAGGTGAGGTGGAAGACATCCAGTTGATAAACTAAACTAAAATAGGAGCAAACCACCACCTATAATACACACAGCCAATCATTTTAACAGTGAATGATAAATAAATAAATAAAGATTTTGCTTACAATAACTGCATTATAAATAGTTGGTTGTGATATTGCTATTTTCACGATATCCATATGGTTCTATATTTATTGTGATATTTTTTGGAGGCTTACAAAATTGTGAATATGCTACTTTTCCTTTTAAAAGTCTTGGAAAAGTCTTCGTACTGTTATAATATGAAGAATTAAGATTTAAAAGTGCTTAATAACAAAGGATCATGGTCTATGTAGTTCCCTCTTTTTTAGCTAGTGGTGCACAGGTTTACAGATTAAGAAAGACAAAAAAACTACATAACTATTAATTTAAGCAAAAAGACTTGTAATTTAATATTATTGTGAGCCTTTTGACAATATGATATCACAATATTTCTGTTATTGTTACATCCCTATTCCTAGATATTATATACTTTACCTGTTCATCTCCACTGATCAAATACTGGTCAATGGCTTTGTGTTTTTCTCTTTCAAGCTTTGTTTTATCTTCCTGCTTTATCTGTGCTGCTTGGTTTTCTGGTTGAATATCCCACCGCAGTACTAGGAAACAATAATGTTGCTGTTAATAATATTTATATATTTTTAACTTAAACACATACATGTATAATCATTGAATAGTAGGTTTAACTTTATAGAGAAAACTGCTGTGGATAGGATTAGATGATTACATAATTGTGTTTCTGTTGTTAGAGGAGGTGGCAGGTCTTTGAATATTCTACTGTCCATTCGATGTTTGATGGAACCAGAATCCAGATCCCACAAGATTAAATAATCTCTGAAACAACATAAAACTGTGTTCGGTCAACACAACATAAAATTATTTGTTAATAATTCATCAAATCATGTTTGAATCTATGTTTGCAGTTATATACTTTTACATAGACAAACATATACTGTATATAAAAAGAAACTAGAAACAACAAACTTTAACCCATGGCCTTGCTGCCAGTTAATACAGAGTTAAGATAAACTCTGTCTGTCGTATTTCTTGTTTTGTATTTCAGTATATTTTCACCTTGTCTCTGAGAGGCCCAGAAGTGTTGCTCCATTTTCCAGAAGCCGGTACTCGTGCTGAGGACAGGGGATAATTGCCAGCCCAGTCTGTCTTCTCACGTAGCTCCGCTTGATCAGGTCAAACACCAGCAGAGTCTGCCACAGAAAAGACACATCACATCACTTCAAAAATGTAATTACTCTAGATCTCTGATTATGGTCACACGCGCACTAAAAATCTGATCATCATTTGTTTTTAAAAGTTGACAGATAACTAAAATGTCATGTGAACAGCTACATTTCATGTGAGAAATGTAATGTATTTCTGATTGTCCGAGTGTAACAAAAGCAAAATTTTACTTTAAAAGTCATTCTACTTCCAAATACAACAGTTACTCAAAAAATCAGTAGCTTACATGTCATACAGGATTTCTGTTGATCACATTTCTTTTCTGACTATTTTAATGCACCCACTGTGTACACATTTATAAATCCTTTATGTCTACATGCACATCACAAATACCTATCACCTACTTCCATTATATATATTTTATAATAAACTTCACTGTAAATTGTGGTGACCTGAAAGCACGGTGGTGCTTGTGTTCTGCTGGCGGAGCTCCTGTTGGTCAGTATGTAGAGTTTGAGTTGATGCACTAGGACCACGTCTGTGCTGCTGAAGAGTCCGTGCTGCGCTCGCACAGGCCGACACCTGAAACGCTGCCTGCCCAAGTTCCACACAAACACTGTCCCAGGTCGCTCAGAGAAACATACTGCATACCTGCCAGCAGAGGGAGACACACTCCAAGAGTTGAATGAACAGTCCACATTTGTGATAATGTACTTGTTAAGATGAAAAGTCAATTCCTTTATCAGATAAGATGGTGTTTTTTCTGAATTAAACAATCAAGGTAATCTTAAAGAAGAGAATGCTTTTTTCCTGCTATGTTGTAATAAACTATAACAGAGATTGTTAGTTTACATTTTGTTCATTTGTAAACTGCCTTTTCATAGTGGTATTTCACTGTAGCCAGTAGTGGACTTTCATTTTAATATTTGAATATTTTAATGTTGAATAATTACATGTATGACCAGGAGTCAAGTAAGTATAGGCAGTGGTCAGAGATAGAGAAAAATGTAACATTTCTGAACTCTGATGTCTCAAATGAATATTACAGGATTACTCAAACATGCATGAATCACTCAAAATACAACCCTGAGTAAGTTACTGGTGATGGAATAATTATATGAAAATATACAAAACACCTGCCCTCACTTGAAGACATTTACAAAACTATGATTGTGGCCCTCCTCAGACCACGTGCCCCTCCCTGCTTTACCGAGGTTGCTTGCCCATTGCGATGAGCTCTTTGGTGCCATCACTCCGGCTCTTGTGGACGTTGTAAGTCAGAGTCTGGTCTGTAATCCTGGTGGAGAGATCCCACAGACGCACATATCTCTCTCCAAAGCAGACTCCCAGGCAGAGGTGCAGATCAAAACACAGCCCTGGAGTAGAGCATAAAATCAACATTACATTTTCAGACACCTATTACCTGCACCATCATAAAACACCTTTATTGAGTATTCCTGGGAACTGTGTGATGTGTTTGTGGTCCTCTGTCTCCAGGTTCCAGGTGATCAGGCCAGTGACGCCCGTCCGCTGAGAGGAGCAGAAGGCCACGACGTGAGTTCCTGCATGGTTCACTGTGACCTGGGATATGAAGTCCTGACCACAGCCCAGGATCGATCTCTCATACTGGAAGGACTCGGCACTGAAGAGTTCAATGTGAATGATTTGACGATCTTGCCTGTACGGATATCTACAATGGACAAAACACAGCAAAGGTAATTATTTTATCTTAATTGGTACTGATTCGTTTTATACTAATTGTAATTGCGATGTTTAAAAGCCTATAGTGTAGACTGACTTGTGAGGAAACACTAATGTAAAATACCTGCAGAAGAGCAGCAGGTAGTCCTCAGTCATGTCCACAGCCTGGATGGAGGCAGCAGCGTGTTGAGCAAACAGCACTTTAAGCACCGTGCCCTCTTTAGCACTGAACACACCTGCTTCACAGCCAGATCTGTACCAGGAAAACACACCGTTGATTTTATACTGTCTAAGTGTGTGTACAGAGACGGCATAGTGTTATAATGCAGGGGTCATCAAACTAAGTCCCGCTAACACATTTGCATCTTGTAATTTGTTGATTTTTACCTGGTCCTCAAAGGCTTGTCCAGGTTTTGTATTCACCCTGTGTGTCTGTGTGTGTGTCTGTCCACCCGCGATAACTAGGCCATTTATGGACCGATAGTCACCAAATTGGGTACATGGGTCAAGCCCCTGTGCCCAATGCCGCAAAAAAAGTTTGGTGACGATCCAAGGTCATTTGAGGTCACACGGGTCAATTGAAATGTCACATCATTATAAAGGATAGGCAATTTCTGAACCATCTGCGGCCTAAAATGTTCACCCAATCATCCCACAAGCTGGCACACACATAACTGGGGTACACTGGATGTTACAGGTTTAAACTGGTCAAGGTCACCAAAGTGAAATATGTGTTTTTGGTCATAACTCCGTAAAGGATGGAGCTTGAGCAACAGGAGTGCTCTCAAAATCTCAGAAAAATTATTATCTATTTATAATTCTATGCATTTGTATCGTAAAATATTTATAATTTTCGAGATAATCACTAATTAGAACAGTTCCTTTCTCTTTCAGTGTATGCCGTTAAAATTCTAATTAGAACAAAAATAATTTCCATTTCTTCTTTTCCTGGTGATACACAACACACTGATCTACAGTCACAGAACTAACATATGCGAAACTCATGAAAAATTATATTTTTGTTACACGCTACTAAACACAGACATTCTCATGTGCGACCAATATCACACAAATGTTCATGGGCACTGTACAGCTACACATATTGCACTGTGGATATAACGATCATGTAATATGGGAACTTGTTCCAATTAAAAAATGTGTTAAGTTTTCGTACTTTAACACAAGCCATTTTGCTGTCCTTAACTGCACTACAGAACTCAACGTGCGTAAATTGAGTAAACTTGACTTGAGTGTAGAGTTTTCAAAGAACAGTGGACGACCGATTATTTTTTTGTTCAGTGTAAGGACCATGCAGTTTGTCTGATATGTAAAGAAAGTGTGACAGTTTTCAAAGAATATAATCTGCGTCGTTAAGGTCATACAAAGCTGTTATACGGCCGACCTGACCCCGGCCTCCACCACAATCAGGAGCAATAATGTGGCCCCCAGGGAAAAAAGTTTGGTGACTCCTGTTATAATGCTCACTGCAAATAATAAAATACTTTTCTCTCAGATGTGAACGCTGTTGTACCTGCTTAATATATGAACTCAAACATGAATCACACTAAGAGCAGTTGTAAAAATACTCTGAAATAATATAATATATCAGAAAACTAAAAAATATTGCTGAAATGTCAGAACACAGTGTACACGAGTCTGCCCCTGAGCTGTTACATGCTGTTTCCATGCTTGGCGCCTTACCTTACCAAGCATCACAATGACCTATATTATAATGTATGTGATCCCTGTCCATCAGGCGTGAAACTCTGTCATCCGTGCTAATTACTGTGAAAGCATTAGCCCACTGTCTTTGATACTGGGATAGACAGCTTGTGTGGATATTAGCTCCCTTTTATCCTCGCATAATAGCCTATCAGTTGCTTCTTGTTGTGAGGAGATGGATCTAAGGAACTGTGTTGTGGCCTTTCTTAATAATTCAGACAGTCTGTGGTGAGTTGTCTTGTAACAAAGAGGCCAGATTTCACAGCTTGTTAACAGAAAGATGTGGCATTATTTAGGTTGGTGGCTTGTTGTTGGCAGCTCTTGTTCTCCAGGATCTCACAACAGTCTTACTATGCACACATTATTGGACCTGTAGGCAAAAAGGACGTAGTCTTTGATGGAGTTGCTGGACAGGAGAATTGAGCCATTTCTGTGGATAGGTTCAGAATGCAGAGAAATGTTGATCGAGTGCAATAGAGAACAGGATGCAGCCAAATCAAACACCTAATGAAATCAAAATCAAGGCGTTAAGGTAAAATAAACATTCACAACAACACCAGGAATAAATAAAATAAGACGTAATTCCAGCTGCTACCTTCACTCGGGGAGTCCCATCATAAAACAACACAAGGAGCTGTCCATTCAAAGCTGTGGTCACAATCGGGACGTCCACTGATCCACTGTCTGAATACACCACACGCCCAGATTCAACCTCACGTACCTGAAACACATTTTCAAGTTTAAAGAGTTATCCTCATTAGTGTTGGGTATCATTTAGAAGTAGCCGATACGATACATATTTCAATACAGTGCACTTTTGATTCAGTACGATATATTTCAAAATGATTTGAAAGGGTTCAGTAAAAAATAAAGTCTAAATCATGGCTGTGATACTAAACGTCTTTGTTAAACCACTTCTTGTGCAAAGTTCATATGAAACACACACATTTTAAACATTAAAACAGTGAATATGTCAAATGTGTCACATAAACGAGTTTCCTTCCTCTAAACAAACAACAAAACTGTAGCTCTGTAACAAAATAATTTAGTAAAATATACCAAATCATACTGTTGGTGATACATTGATACAGCAGCCTACAATATCGATACTGAAGTATCACATTAAACAATACGATATATCGATATTTTGATATTTTTGCACACCCCTACTCCACATGTAGGTCTTGATTTTGCTGTCATCCAAACATCTTACCTGTAAAGCTTGGCCCATGCGGATGATAAGCATTGTGTCATTCAAACCAAGATGGAGAGAATCTGCCACAAATGCTCCTGCTGGATCCAAGTGACCGGTGGTTCTCCTCTGCTCCAGGTCCCAGAACCTGATGCTTCCATCCAGCTCACAGGTCACTGCAGTGGGACTCTGCTGAGAACCTCCAAGTGCAGTCACACAGCTCAGAGGACCTGGTGGAGGAACTCAACATTAGGAGTGTGCAGGATTATTAGATGTGAAGTCACCATAGCCAGAGAATTTTGCCGTTTGGCAGGTTTTGCAATAATCCACAAATTGTAGATTGAATGTCTTTTACTAGGGATGTAACAATAACCGAAATATCGTGCTATCGTATCATCAAAGTTGTCACAATAATATTGTGGACCATCACAATATATCGAATTACAAGTCTCTTTGCTTAAATTAAGAGTTATGGTGCAGCAATGGCAAAAAAAGACAGGGAAATACGTAGACCTTGATCCTTTGCTCCATTTTTGTGTAGACTACAAGAGCACTTTTAAGTCTTAGTTCTTTGAATAAAGTTTTGTCAAGGCATTTTAAGAGGGAAAAGTAGCATATAAGCCTCCACAAAATATTGCAATAAATATTGTACTGTGAGATGTATATTGTGAAAATATCATACAGAGAGATTCGGATATTGTTACATCCCTAATCGTGAGCCTCCCCACCATATCATGATCTTATATCATACCGTGAGGTTCATACCATGACGATATCATATCGTGAGACATGGATATTGTTACACCTCTATCTATTACCTCAATTTCACACTTAAATCTACTCTATGAAGCCAATGGGTCAAAAAACAATCTTTTAAAAATAGCACATTTTATAGGCTCTACTCAGGCGTACGTCAAAAACCAAGAGTTTGAAAACATGCAATGACAACTTCCGGTGTAGTTACTGACACTGGCCTTGCCTAGCGACTGTGATAAAACCCATTGAATTAAATGTGATCAGCGGTAAAATGAAGACTGCATACGTATGTGCTGTTTGGAATAACCTTGAATTTGGCGCCTTCATCTCTTCTAATCGCATGTACCCAGTGCGCTCAGAGTTATGTGTCAGTGGGGACATGATGAAAACTGAGGTGTGGTTGTAATTCTTGATTAGCTGAACATAACGGAACGCTGCAATGACACGTAGATGAAGAAAACTGGGACATTTTCTAATTTTTCCTAGATTTGTCAGACTTACTACCGCGAAAAGAGCCCGCCTGAAGTTGTCAAGTTTCCAAACGTCTTCCTGATTTATGACATAAGCGTGAGTAGAGCCTAATGAGTAACCTGCTAATAGTGTGTGGTGTAGACCTCCAGGGGGCAGCAGACAGGTGGCGGAGGGCAGCAGAACAGGCAGACATGAGTGGGAGCACTGATCCAGTAAAGCGTGGAGGTACCGGAACTTCAGAGGATCACCTAGATGGGCACAAACAGACAACCTAAAAACCTAAAAACGAAGAGAATATTGAGAACTTGAATGGAATACCCTTTGCAACAGGCCGGTCCTCCATGACCATTTTCCCCAGGCGACCCATGAGCTGTGAGGCAAGCTGACAGGGGTCCTGGAGAAGCACTGAACGGGACAGGCCCAGAGCACCTGACAGCACCACCACATCTGCCACTTCCCTGATGAGACAAAAGCAAGCTGAATAAACTTTTAGTATAATTTTACTGGCAAACAATGTATTCTGATATGGTATTTTAAGCTGCTGTAACTTTGTCTTGTTACACCACTATATTTAAATTGTACATCTTAGATTAAATATGAAGTGTTGCTGTAACATACTTATCTGGTAGCACTGCCTTTTTCAGGTCCTCCTCTATTTCCAGAACAGACGACCCCCAGGCCTTATGCAGGAGGAACTCATAGTTAAAAATACACTCCACTAAGAAGGGTATAATCTGCCCGGAGTGGACCAGGTGGAAGGGAAGCCCTCGCAGCTTCCTCAAATTAAACCTGTAACTTTTAATCTTTTCATCTCCCTTGGTTTCCTCAAGGACCCACGCGGTAGCCTGGAATATGTGAGCGTTTGGAGATTTGTCTCTGTAGTAATCAGCATAGTCTGCATGTACGGCCATACAGGACTCCTCATTCCTGAAGTAGCGTTGTAAACAAACTCGGCGCAGTTCAGCGTGAGTCCAGCGGTAAACCCACGTGTCGTCTGTCCTCACTTCTGTCAGGTGAAGGCCCAGCTCCTGTTTCAGACGCGCCCACAGGATATAAGGCAATTTACAGACGAGAGGAGAGCTGTGAGCTGAAGACACTTCCTGGAGGACTTTTCCGTCTTTGGAAAGTAGGTGAAGTATTTCCTGGGGATACGGAGATACAAATTAATTTTGACTCCCAGAAAACCGAGGCCTTTCTATGCTGAGCTTGCATGTTTATCCCCCACAGTGGCAGGAAGGATGGCTTAAATGCAAAGGAGAAATTTCCCTACAGGGACAATAAAGTATACCTTTCCAGATATTTCATAAATTATTTTTCTGTATCGTTCCCTTTCCCATTGAGTGGGTTCATATATGTATTTAGTCCATCACTTTATTCACACCACCAGAAAACAGCACTGAAATTTCTACTAATAACATTAAAATCCAGTGTCTGGTCTGGAAATTTCCAGGTTCAACGCTCTGTAAAAATTGACAGGCACAGTTTTTGGTATTGGTAGGATTTTTTTTCTCATTATTCCCCTCATCCAAGACGATTCAAAAATATCTTTTACTACATATTTACATAGGCAGGCATATTTAGGAAAGTAGTAATATTGCTGAATGTTCATAGTCATACTGATAAATACCAACCTCTTCAGTCACTCCATGTCGAGAAATGGACACAAGCATTGCCGCCCGTCTGACCAGCTGTTTTCCAATGTCCCTCTCCATACGGGACAACATGTTTAGGTACAAGCCCTGGAGGGTGGCAGGCAGCTTCAGACTGGACTGGGATGTGTAGGACGTCCAGTGTAAGCTCTCGCTGTAGGCAGTTTGCAGGTATAGAGGACAGGGGCAGGACTCACAAGCCTGCACTAGGGCCTTCCACTGGTCCGGCCTCAGACGCCTTTGGTCTTGGTTAAGTTTAGACTCTAATGCTGTAGAGATGTCATCTGTGCTCAGCGGAGGAATGGACAGGAGTGTGAACTGTCCAGACTGTTGAAACAAGGAATGAAGGGCACATTGTGTTATAGTGGGAAGATAATATTCTTAATTTTTGAACCATAGCCAACATTTTCAGACATCATAATCAGGCGTTTTGTCCTGCATATGCACTCTACCCTAACCCTTATACCATCCGTCAGCAGTATCTTTCTTAGTTTAATAATAAAACACTAGGGATGTAACGATATCTAAATCTGATGGCATACGATATTATTAAGATATTAATTTCACAGTACGATATTTATTGTGATATTTTGGAGTGGTTAATATAATTGTAGACAGGATACTTTTTGCATTTAAAATACTGTGACAAGACTTGAAATGTTGACTTGAATCATTACTGTCATAATCCCAAGAATTCAAGTAAAAAATATATTTCTTCATGTTGTCTGCACTGAAATCAATCATGGTATATGTGGTTCCCAATGTTTTATAGCTGTTGCAACTATAAAACAATGCATTTAACCAAAGGAACTTGTAATTCGATATATTGTGACAGTTCTCAATATTATTGTGAGACTTTTGACGACAATATTTCGGTTACTGATACATCCCTACAAAACACAACAAATGAAATCTAAATCTAAGGGAACTGGGAACATATTTGTAAAATAAAACACAACTTTGATTTGTTTAAACTAAATTTCTCAGCCCATCCTCTAGCATTTTAGCTCACAGAAGAATACAGATGTACTACAGTATGGCAGGACACACAAGAGATGACCCTTTAACATGTTAAGTGATAGTGGTTTGATAATTTTTAAGAGAATTTAAAGTGGGACATTCATCTATTACTATTCACATCAGTATATTAGTTGAGTTGTGCTAATGTAAAAGATTTCAACAGCACTGACCAGTAAGATTTGAGTGCAGGTTGAATTGGTGGTCGCTGAGAGAATGAGGTAAACATTTTCTGGGAGAGCTGTTAAAATCCAGGAGAGGTGTGGGCCGTGTTCATCTGACAGTTCATCGAGCCCATCCAGCAGCACCACCGCGGGTCTGTCTGAGTCCACCAAGGCCAGCAGGGAGTGGAATTCATTCACAAGTTGAGGAAGGCCCTATCAAACAAACACAAACAATATGAAGCTACAACAATATTCTAAACAAAGATGGATAGATTTCAGTTTATAATGACAGTACTTCTGATAGTTGTGTGTGAGGACAGTAAATTTCAGCCAGTTGGACGCACAGATTTTGTACAACCAAACGGATATTTCTGCTTTCTCCAGAAAAACCAATAAAGGCCACCAAAACTGTAACAGTTCTGTCGCAAAAACAAAAAATAATAATAAAAATACAACTAAAGAGACAAAACAACCTCAGATCATGTAGTGAACCTAAATGAGAGACAAAATTGGTTTATGTATGCTGAAAAAATGCATATCTTAAGAGCAATATATACATTTTACAAGTATTAGTAGTAGTATTAGTAGTTGTATTGCCTTTCTTACCCTGAAATCCACTTTGGAGCTTTCTGAGCAATGGCGGCCATGACAGTGGTCTTCCCACAGCCGGGTGGTCCCGACAGAAGAATTTGCCTGGAAGATGACTGCTTCAAAGCTTTTTCTACATCTTCCAGAAAGGCTTGTCTTAAAATAAAGTTCTTTGCTCTGGACAAAACAAACTTTCAATGAGTACTAATAAGTAAACATGGGATTAAGATTATAAATAGTTTACAGATTTAGACTGTGCTGTTTGTGACGCTGTATCTCCTCTTGTATCTGTGCTCGTATCGCTTCTCTCCTCATCTTTTCAAATGTTCCATGCATTTCTCTTCTCTTTGCAAATCTAAAGTTAAAACAATATCATAAGGACAACAGAAGGCAGACTTAAAGTACATCAGAAGTACAGTACACGAGGGCAGTAGATACATGTAAACATACTTGTTGATGGAGCTGAGGACAGTGCGTTGAACATGGGAGCAGATGCGCTCTGTGTAAAAGTTGTGCGAGCGATTTTGTTTGGGGTCCAGTCCTGTCCTTCCCCAGGCCACTTTACGCTCGTAGATGTTGGTGCGACGCAACTGCAAGGAAGAAGTAAGAAGATGTACTATAGGGTGGTCCAAAAACATTTTTTTTAGATTCTCTAGATTAGAGCCCTGCATTTGGTTCCATATCTGGTCAAAATATTTGGGTCAAAATTTTATGCAAATTAATAAATATTTAGAGGTTGCTCAAAACACTTGAAAATTGCCCTATAGGGTCTATACTATAACATAGAGAACCAAATATATAAGGCGTACTCGAATAATTTGTCATTTTATTCTGCGAACACAAACTGAAAAAATTATTTAGAAAATCCATAAAAAGTTACTTAGAAAGTCTAGCAACTACTGTGGCTTTGTTGGCACCACTAAAGATGCTCCTGTGTTCTTTGTCTGTTTCTGATCTTCATTTTTTGTTTGGCTACAGTTAAAATCTTATATAAGCTTCACCCCTTTCAGCAACATCATTGACAATGTTCCTGAAATTCACAGTTTTAGCAGCCTTCTGAAAGTCTGCAGTCTGCCGGGGAATTGTTAAAAATGTTTTTTGGCAGATCAAGAGCTTTGAAGAAAAGCATCATGCTGGTGGAGACAAAATCACTGATCTGCTTCCCTTCATAATCTGCTTGATTAGGGGCTTCACATTGTTCTGGTGGAACCTCTGAACCTTCCTTTTCCATAAAATTGTGAACCATCAACTTCTTCTGTTCTTCTGTCCCACTGGAGCCAACCATTTCTTCACTCAAGTACCAAAGATGTCGGCTGAAAGCTCTTAAGACTGCTTTCTTGACAACTGAATGTTTATACTGTGACGGCTTCTTAAGGAAAACCAAATCATTTGCAGGAGCTTCAAAACTTCATGCAGCTTGAGCAACCTCTGAAACATCTCCTTTTTCTTCCAAATTTCTTCCTAAGTTATCTTTTGGATGCTTATACTTAATGCAGGATTCTTATCAAGGTGATCTGAAACTTTATTTGTTACCATGCTTTGATGGACCATCCTAATGTATTATTATGTATTACAAGATTGAAAAGATGTTAGAAAATATATTCCTCATTTGAAAGACATCCACTCCACCAAAATCACAATCTATCATTAGTAAATAATAAATATAAATAAATAAATAAAATAAAAAAATAAAATAAAATAAATAATAAAATGAAATGAAATTAAACTGTGTGTCACTGTACATCAATTGTTTTTATCTAAGAAATGCAGCCTGACAAGTGTGATTAGTTGTGATTACGCGTTTCATATTGTCTCCTGTGAAGGGAAAATTACTTTCTTGTGAATCCTGTCCACACATTGCTGATGCTCTATACTGAGGACTGGGTCTATCTCGGTCTGTCCTCGCAGCAGGTCCACATACAGAGCAGCGTGCTTGTTCTTCAGGTTGTAATATAAATCTGGAATTATTCTTTTGTAGCAGTGGCAGCGCTCTTCTGGTGGAGCTTGGCCCACAGACCGAATCCCCTCCTCCACCTCCCAGTCTAGAACTTAACACACACAAAAATCTGATTACACATTTACCAAAACTAATAAATCAAATGTATGTATCAATAGAAAACCTGTTCTAAGTAGTATAGATGTCTGTTCTTTTCCTATGGCCTCAGCTCCTCTGTAGTACAGCACCTTCCACAGTCTCTGTAAGGTGCCCATCCAGGCGCTTTTGGCCAGTTTCTGATGTTTCCTGTCCACACTTAAAATGTCAGGATGATGTGTGCTGCACCACAACAAAAGAAAGAGTGGATGTCAGACATGTGTTTTTTTTATCAAATTAGCAAAGCAATGTTTAATTCAGCCCTGGGTTCTTCTTTCACTTAATCTCTGTCAGGTATACTGCCTATTAAACTTGAACACGAGTAATGGGTCAGTGTTACAGCTGAGATAAGGGTGTAAAGTTAGCAACATTACACAAGCTTTCTCTACGGATGAAACTTCACATCCAAAGTTATTGTTTTTATTTACATGGCTCGTCTTTAATTCTTAGAAATTCAATCCTATATGTAAAACAAGTCTAATAAAAAGTGAAGCATTTCTCAGCATAGTTTAGTAAAATCTGTTAAGTAAAAACACATTAAATATCCAGCCATAAAGTTTCATCAGATCTGATCAATAATAACTGTTTTGGGATTATGTAATGCTTGATTTCTCTGATGACACAAGAATCAAAACTAGGCAGCTCATTAATTTAAGATGATCACAAATTGTCTAGTTTGATAATAACTTATAGAGAAACATTAACTTACTTATAAGGTGAAGTATTATTGCTATTAGAGCTGCTCGATTGTAGAAAAAATCATTATCATGATTATTTTGGTCAATATTTAAATCACGATTATTCAAATTATAATTTTTTGTTACATGATTCCCCCCCCCCCCCCCAAATAATAACATAATATGTTATTGATAATTTATGCAAACTTGTATATGTATAAAACATAATAATATATATTAATACATAATGAATAAAATATACTTTGAACATGGATATAAGGCACAGAAAAACAGAAATGTATCCCAAATAAACTATATATCCAACTGTTCTATAATCTCTATGTTTAAAAAATTAAATACATATACTCCCAAAAATCCCAAAATAAACTTTGTCATGCTTTATCATTTCAACTCAGTTATATGAGTTTAAAGATCGCTTCGACACACAAATTGAAGTCACGATCAAACTTCGATCAATTGCACAGCCTTAATTGGTATGCCGTGAATGTTTCCGCACTATGATATTAAGTATGGCTATCTTGCATGTATTTAACTACAAGTTTTTATTGCTAAAAAAAGAAAAATACAGTTTATTATTGCATGTCTTTGGTTGTCATTCCATAGATCTGACCTGTAACTTAGTCTGGTGGTGTCACCTGCTTGTCTTAATGCCTTACTATGGAACATTCCAGTCAAAACAATAACACCTCCATGGAGATTTTGGAAAAGTTAGATAGAGCATCTTTAAAATAGATTAGATTAGATCTGAAGGATGACTAAAGTATAGGGAATAATCCTTTCTTCCCCTCTTTTTTCCTCTTCTTATCCCATGTAAACTTTTCACCTCTATGGGCTCCTTTCCTCCTTTTGCATCCATATTTCCTACTTTTTAAAATTCATTTATTTTTGAGTTTATTATTTATTGAATTTATTATTTTTTATTTTTTATTAATTTACACTGTATTAAATCTATCACCTCCTACTACTGCTACTATATATTTTATTTACTTACTCATTATTATTTTTTTAATTGACTTATTTTTTAGTTATTTATTTTATTTTGGGTTGTTTGGCCAGTGGGTGGGGGTGTTGACATTCAGATGTGTCCTCCTGTATTATTGTCATACTTGTAATAGTACTATTCAGTAGTGTTTGTTTGTTAATGTTAAAAATGTTCAATAAACAAAGTTGGAAAAAAAAAAATTGATTAGATAGATAATCTGTAATGATATGTGCAAAATCGTCTGATGAAAGAGTAAAAGAGATTCTAAACTCAACCCTGTTACCTGATAGGAAGCAGGTGGTACTTTGGCGGGATGCTGTTTGTATCGAGCTTGTACCACATACGAAACTGTGACAGCTCTTTCTCCACATCCCCGACACTTCTCTCTCTGACCGGGCTCAGTCTTCCCTCCTCCTCGTCGGAAAAAGGATTGTCTGTCTTGTCGAGCTCCTCTGAATTTATTGCCTCATCTCCAAAACTCAGATAGTGTCCGTAAACAGATTCTTCAAAACTCCTCATGGTGGTTTCAGCGGTAATGCCAGCGCTGGAAGATGGACCAGTAAAATTAACAGTTTTTTTCTTGGAGATGAGCTCTTTGTCTTTCTCAAGGAAGCTGCATAATCGCTTCAAATTCTTCCTTTTGAATAGTAGCGGGAAGACTGCGGACTTCATATTTTTGACCAACAAACAGCTAAAAACAGAAAACACACATTTCAATAGTTAGTAATATTCAGTCAATCATTCAAGTTTTAATTTACTCTTACAAAAAAGCCAGAGCATTGGGTTTCCTGGCATTTCTTGAGCGTGTCTAAGTGCAGTCGTGCAGTGTCATGGTGTTCAGAAATAGGGTTTCCCACTCCACAGCGGAGATCAATCATTCTGAAGTCATAGCCTCTCTGTTTACAGTACAGATACAACCTGGGATACACGATGTCCATGAGAGCACCTCTTTCTACCACCGAGTCTGAAACACAACACAGTATTAGTGATTTATGTTAATGCTTTAAATTACAGCTCCTAGATTGCACAGAATTGACTCTTGTGAGCTTTAAGACATGTTATAATGATGTTATTGCTTCAAAAACATACCTGTATTTGTGTTTTCTTTCATTCACACATACTTGAGTAATCCTTTGTTATTTTATTGTTATTATTTGTTTATTCATTTCATTCATAAAGTATAAAAAGGCATCAACAGTGTCACAACATCAAACATACACGAAATTAATGAAAAGGAGCAGAAAGAAGAGTCATCTTATGTTATCTGTTCCCCTTTTTCCTTTTCCAGACAATATATCAACACTGATAGTTACTTTACTTATTACTCGGGATGTAACAATAACCAAAACATCGTGATATCATATTGTCAAAAGTCTCTTAATAATATCGTGGGCTGCCACAATATATCGAATTACAAGTTCCTTTGATTAAATGCATGGTTTTATAGTAACAACAGCTTATAAACAACAGGAACTACATATCCCATGATTCATTTTAGTACAGACAACATGAAGAGATATGTTTTTTACTTGAATTCCTTGGATTATGATGGAAATAATTCACACCAAAATCTTGTCAAGGTATTTCAAAAGCAAAAAAGTGTCCCAGCTACAGTTTTATTAGCATTTTCAAAATATCCAAATAAATAACGTACCGTGAGATGCATATCGTGATAATATCATACCGTGAGATTTGGATTTGGGATCGTTACATCCCTACTCTTACCTACCTCTTTAAAATGCTATGTTTCACCTTGTGATGTCATGAATTTATAGTTTTCAAGTGAAAAGTTACCATTTACCTGTAGTTTAGTAGACATCGGCAATTCTAGGGCTGAAATTATCCAAATAATTCTAGTTAAGGTGTACAGTGTTTAAAAACAACAGTGGAGCACTTCTTGTATTTTTAGTCTGAGGGAAGAACTCTGCCTAAATAAGTAAGAGTTTTGTGTGTTAAACATGTGTGAAAGAAACAAAACACAACTCCAGATATGTTATAACAAGATCAGAAAATTGTGTAACACGAGCCTTTGAAAAAGACTTCTTATATTTTTTCTGGGTATTTACAGTTTGTTCATTATAAACTGCAATGTTGATCTGAAACTGTAGATCCAATCAACATGTAAATAAGTTAAAATGAATCAGACACCATCCATCCTTCATTAATGCCTAAACTATCCCAGTCTGGATAAAAATGAAATGTTTTACTCACCTTTATAACCTCCACAGATGTAGACTGTGAACCTCTTTTCATCTTGTGAAGGCCCCAGTTTCACCTGCATCAGAGAATCTGACGCTCTCTTTAAAGTTGTTTCTAGAAAATCTTTATGGCCGTCCTTTTTTTCATTATTTTTCAGGGTAGAACTACAACGCCCGTCTGTCTCGCTGTCCATATTGTCTCCTTTAACTTGCACATGATTAATGAATGAATCTGTAGATGCCTCATGATTGTTCCTTTCAAAGTTTAACAGATCTTCCAAGCCAACTGTCTTTAAAGGCTTTACCTGTAAACAAATGCAAGCAAATTAAAAATTAAACACGCCTGCATGCATGGTAAGAACACGCCAAACATTAGAAAAACCTTGTCTCTGTGGCGGTCACGAATCACTGGTAAATGCAGACTTTTATCTTTATTCTAGAGGTGATTTATTACAGGGTTACACATTGTTCATAACAGGAATAAATAATGAGTATCTAGCAAATGGCTTTAAGTGTAATTACATTTGCATACGTCTCAGCAACACGCTTTTTGTCCTCCTAAAAGGTGATATTAAGATGTTTATTTCATCATAATATCATGAAAATCACAATAATCTAATACCTTAACTGAAAGTGGTCCATTGCTTATTGCTGGAAACATGGAGCCCTTGTTCTTCAAAAACACACAAAGATTGCATAAGTTTAAATAAGCACAGTGTTGATTCTCAGTGTTATAACAATATCTAAAGAAGATTTTGCTAAAAGACGTGCCAAGAAGATGCTAGAAGGATACGGGTTAAGAAGAGAAAAGTCAAAAAAGCAGTTTGCAACAAGTTTTCAAGCATGAAGACCAAAAGGAGTAAAGTAACAGTAATAAGAAACGCAACAGTTATTCTTACATGGTCCCTATTTTTCTCTGTAAATGATGATCTTTTGAGTTGAGCCTTCATGGTTCATAAAGAGCGATGGAGATGAGGAGCGATGCACAAACACGCACAGATCCATGGCACAAACGCACACAGCTGTGATCTGTAGAGAGGAGGGCATCGGGAAACACGCGGAAACTCTTCACAATAAAAGCTCAGGTCAAGAAAATTGATTCCCCAAAGATAGGGTGACCAGATTTTCAAAATAAAAAACTGAGACGCCCCAGGTTTGGTAGTGGTTGGTAATAATGCAATTGTGAAACGAGTGCGTAATTAAGAAAAACTTTTATGCACTCTAACATGTGAGTCAGTAGTCACATTTTCTTTGTGTTTTGGTCTTTTTTAAGCAGCTTTTCTGTATTTTACCTAAACGAATGACAATTAATGCCTCTCTTTACTGCTGACAGGTATCAATTTGGTCAAAAATAGGGTGACCATGGACATTTCTTGTGTAAAACTAGGACAAATTATTGGCTTTGGATAAATCTGCTGGGACAGGGGACACAGGGCTCAAAACTGGGACTGTCCCGAGTAAATAGGGACGTCTGGTCAACCTACCCAAAGATAAAATGTAACCTAACATATTTTAGTCCATTAGTGCATGAAGCACTTACACTTAAATCTAAACAAGATGAGTAAAGTTTTTTTTTTTTTACTTATCGTGTAGTAGACCCAATAATATGAATAAAAATAGAATACACAGTTATAGACCAAACATTTTATTTTGATGTAAAAAGTCTGTATTTAAGAAAAAATACATCAAGTAACATGAAGTACATTGGATTATTTGTCATAAAAACGACCCCAAGCCTTCACAAAGTAATGATGATGTTTTTAAACTCACAGAGAAACATGTATGAGCCTGATGTCTGGCTGGTGGATTTGATATCAAGAAACATGGCAGTGAATAAAAGTCGCCAATCCTATCCACCTGATGAAGACAGTGCAGGGTACAGAGTATAGGTCTCTGTCTGTAGGTCTCTGGTCTTGCGGTAAATGTGGCATCTGAAAAGGGATGGCTGAGTTCACTGACCCAGCAGACTTTGGTTCTCAGGATGGTCTGAGTATCAGAGAAGAGGTGTAAAGGCATCAAAACAGCAACCACCGCGGCTGCTTCAAGTTCACAATTTACAGCAGAACAAATATCATCGAATCAACACTTAACACTTGAGTTACTTCAAGTTTAGTCATCGTCCTTTCCTCCTGTTTTGCTCAGCTGCAATAAGAAAAAATCATATAGAGACATGTTCAACTTTAAAAAAGTAAGAGGGATGTAAACTTTATACTCACATGCTGAAGAGCAGATCAGAGATAAAATGAAAACAAAAGAACAATACGTTTAGTATAATAATTAAAAGACATAGAAGTTGTTGTTGGAGTGCACCATCTAGTGGTGAAAAAGGCACTTACTTTAATGACATCCACCCAGTTCCAACCTCTGGGAAGCTCTCCTTTGTTATCTGCAGATTACAACAGCACTTATTACAAATGTAATGTTATGGCGATACAAACAATATCAGTATTCATATAAACCACACAGGAACACTGATAGTGAATTTTGCTCACTTACGATGTCAATAAAAGACTTTCTGATTACATTATTTTCTATATTTAGTTCTTATACTTGAACAATGGTATAAGTTTTCTTGCACAATTTTGACCATGATTGTCCAACTAAATGTACACGGAGTTCCAGCTCTTTGTAAATAGACTTTAGTACCAGTAGATTCAGTGAAGGAGGAGATGACCTTTAGTGTGTGGACGACAGCAGTTGAATTATCCATATTATTGTTTGTCTAACCTCAATGTAAAATGTTGCTTTACAAAAGTATGCTGTTATTACAGCTGTACATTAGAAAATGTACTACAGATTAAAGAATAACAGATACCTGTCCTGTTGACCATCCTTCTCTTCTGTGCTTTAGTTAGTTGCTCCTTCTTTTCCTTCTTCTTGGCTGGAGTTGTAACTGTAGCTTCATTACTTGAGATCAGTGTCTGAAACATACAAACAGTAAGTTCTTGATCAGTATAATACAGTGTAATTAATATGCTAGTACTTGAGTGACATGACTCACCACAGCTTGTACTATGGGTTTGTGATTCTCCATGAGGGATTCTTGATTTTCCTTGGCCCATTCAAACAATGTGTACATCATTGCTGTGCCTAGATTGGCCTCTACTTGTTCCTCCAGTTTTGACAGAATATACTGTTTAGTCTCTGGAGAACTATAATAAATACAAGTGTTTGACAAAGAGTTAAAAAGGGTTAGCTATCATTGTCCACACACACTTATTATACTCAACAAATAGCTGTCATAGCAATAATATGCTTACATCTTGTTATTGAAAAACGCATCAAGAGACATTTGGGGCGCTGTCTCTGGATACGTGTCTGGCCAAGACACGTCTAAGATGAAAGCTTTGGAGTCCTCCAGGTCTCCTATCTGTTCACATTATAAACAATAAACAAAACAATAAACACATTATTTCATGGATGGACAGTACTTGACTTTTAAATGTTGCTTTAATAAAAGAGATGTAAAGGCAAAGCACTGACCCTGAACTGAAATGACACGGGGCTGATCTCCTTGAAGCACTCATCGCCCTCGTAGATGGAGCGCAGAGCCTCCAGCTCCATCTGAAAACACACCGCACACAGATGAAGCATTTGTGAGACACTTCCCGTCAGCTAAAGTGCCCTGTATTCAAACGTGCCAGTATACAGAGCATCTTAATGTGCCAGTACACAGAGAACAGTCTACAAGCACCAAAGCACCAGAGTCTGCTCTCCAGACCAGCTGACTCTTCAACAGGCTCTGTCACAGCTCACATGCTAGCACGAATGTAGCATTACCTCTTGTTCCTCCTTCGCTGTCATAGTTTGTCTTGTCCTCCTTGTAGGGGTCCTTACTATGACCTATCTTAAAATGGTAGAGTTTCTGACTTAATGCCCCATTTTTGTCTCTAAAACTTTAGTAAGGTAAAACCACACACTTCACCGACCGCCTCATCCACCATGATAACCTGCGCATGCGCAGTTCGGTCCACAAAGCTCCGTGAACTTTGAACTTCGTACATTAATAATTATCAAATATACTTGTTTTTATTCACACCAATCAGATTCCCATGGCATCAAAATGATTTTCGTGAGGTCAGAAAATAATTTTCCACTAAACATATGCTACAAATGTCAGGACATCACGTGTGATTTCCTCAGGTTAGCAGAAGGGGGCGCTATGAGCTTACTTTTGAAACTAACTCATTGCTCCAAATTAATAGCTTACAAATATTCTTATTGTTTGTAGATATATGTTTGCACATTATAGGCTACTATTTTACTGAAGGCTTTTGTTTTGGAAGCTTTGATTGCAGAGTTAAGGTGAATAATGCGTAGGCTATTTGTCATGCATATTGATATTGACAGACCAGTCCCTCCTCAGTAAGCTTCAGTGTCTCTCTTTTTATTACTCAGCACTAACATATGCAGGAGAGCAGCTCCGGGACAGCCAGTTTGTACTGTTCTGCCCCATAGGACAGAACAGAAAGGTACCTTAATTGAAGACGAAATATTTAGCGCTGAAGTATACAGAAGAGACACTGTTTGTTTTGCCCATCCATTTCAATGTTTATCTGCCAGAATCAATGAAACTTTGTGCCAAAGAACATGTTCATTTTCTATAATCACACTTGTACACAGCAATCCATATTGGGGCGTATGCTCAAGTAACCTAAACCTAATCCATTTTTTGTAACATTCAATAGGCCCACAACCACACACACACAGAGCTGCCTTTTTCTCATCAGTTTAATCCCTCATTCTTTTATTATATCAATATTCATTTTGCTGCAAGCTGTTTGGCAAGACACATTACCCATGTGAATGTGCTCTGAGGTAGAAGAGGTCAAACAGACACACAATAACAGCCGTAAGTCTGCCCCAGGGCAGCTGTGCCTTCAGACGTTTATACATTGTGTGACTGGGGATTTGAGAAATGTTAAGCATATGGTAGAGTTTCTGTCTCCAGACCTTTGATGGACAGTTTGCAAATTTAGTTTAAAGGTCCAATATTACACAAAACTGATTGAGCTTTAAGCCATGTTATAATGTTGTTACCTCGTGAAAAACATACCCAGAGTTGTGTTTAGTTACATTCATGCATTTTCATGCATGCACAATCTTTATTATTAGTCTGTCTACATCTTCAATTTTCCACATTGTGATGTCATTTAGTGGTAGTTTTCAAGTTAACAACTACCTTTTACTTAGTTTCATAGAGACAAGCAACTGCAGCATTAAAATTATCCTAATGATTCTAGTGAATGTGTATGGAGTTTAAAAACACAGTGGAGCACTTCCTGTACTATCACATGACATCACGAGGTGGAACAGAGTGATTCAGTCTGAGAGAAGAACTCAGTCTAAATATGCAGAGTTTGTTTGTTTGATGAGGAAAACATCATCGTAACATAGATCAGAAAATAGTGCTCCATTAGAATGTTAATGAAGTTTCTGAGTGCACCAGTCATTGTCACACTATTTCCTTCGCTAATGTATTTTTTTTTTACCAGCTTGTCTGGGGATTCTGACACACTTTTCACTTTACACTCATGAAACTTTATCAATAAGGACTTAGCAGGATTCCCCACTGACACCCGGTCTCTATTCTCTGCAAAAACAACCCAACAAAATCTTCTCCTTCCATCAGCTCGCAAACTTCCTCAAGAAAATCACAGTGAGGGAGATGTTTATTTGGATTAGCACATCTCTGGAGAAAGCGCACTTCCACTCGCCAATTTAGAAACGAGCCCTATAGGCCAGACGTCTTTGGCAGAGTGGATAAGTTAATTAAGAGCAGTACAGAGGATGATAGCGGTCTTGTCTTTTGTCTTCCATCTCCGCTGTACAATGATTGCGTTTCACACTTGCATTTTGTTGGCAGCGTGTCATTATGTAGTGGAAGAGAAGATAAAACAAGAGGCCATTGTTCAAGGGCAGAGTGGATCCATCCGAACCACAACAGACAAACACAAAGGCAATGTAGAAGTCCTGTCTTTTGTCGGGGGGATTGTAATCTAGAATCATTGGTGGATGAAGTACTCAATTTTGTAATTTAAGTAGTAGTAAATACAGATACTTGAGAAAAGAGCAAAGAAATACTCAAGTAAAAGTAAAAGTGTTACATGAAAAAATCTACTTAAATATTAAAGTACTTGTTTAAAAATGTACTTCATGAATAAAAAGTAAAAGTATTCCGTGCATATTTTGAGATCTAGCTTCAGATCTAGTGATTCGTATACAGATTTGTGCTGATTTTTTTTCAATGGACACAATAGAATCAATCGTTTCTTTTTTCTTGCTGTTTTTCTTTGTATATTTTTGTTTTCTCAAAGCCCCTCGGCATTTTCAGCAGGTCTCAGACAATAATAAAAAATGCATTTGCTTTTCAGTTCTGTTGAAAGATGCAGTGGAGTAAAAAGTATAGATGCCTGCTCTCAAATGTTGTGAAGTAAAAGTCTACTTGAAAACCTACTTAAGTAAAGTACAAACACTTAAATTTTATACTTAAATACAGTAATTATTATAGTACTTTTACTTAGTTACATTCTACCACTGACTACAATCGTTCAACTAATACAGAATAAATTAAAGACAAGTATGGCAAACTCTGTATTTGGTTTCTAAATATATTAAAAACAGTTTTAAAAAAGTTAGATGGTGACACGAGTAAGTTTTCAGTATTGATTATATTATTTTATAGTATAATTTTTGATGAAATGTATGGCCACATTTCACAATAACCGTGCAAAAAAAGAACGAGATCCATACTGCAGTTCTCCGAAGCTCCCAAACTTTTATTTCAACAACACCATAACGTGATGTTTTGGGTCAAGCCCTTCTTCAGACATAAAAGGTTCACACCTGTTATATCCTCCTGAGACCCGGTCCATTCATTTGTTTTCTTTATAGTGAACACTGAGTTAACCAGTCTCTTTTAAGTGTTTTGAGATTATAGGGTACTATCATGCCGAGGATAAAAATAAATAAATAAATAACTCAATAGGAGTTTGTCTGTGGCTGCACTATGATTACAAAAAGAAGAAATTAAAAGGGAATCTAAAATCTTTTTGAGGCGGCTACAGAATCTTGTAAGAGATGTTGGTCATCAGAAAAGATGTTTTTGTTAGGTTGTTAACTTCACATGGATTTAACACCAAAATGTTCCCGGCGTCCATCAGAGAGGACATGTTACAAAATCATAAATAAAAATAAAATGAACAAAATCTAAATGCTAAGGTGTTCATTTACCTCCAAATAGAGGGAAAATGACAAAAAATATATATATTGCAATACACTTTTTTTCTTCGCGTTCCAGGAGGATATATAGACTCAAGTCTGGTCACTTAACCCACCATGTGATCAGTCCCAATAAAAGAAAAATGTTTTATGATTACAATTGTTGAATGAAATCTTTAATACAAAACAGGTGTTCATTCTGTGTAAAGTGTTGTATTGGTTGACCACAGACTAAAGAATTTACACTATTTACAATTTATATACAAATCAACAAACAGAAGACCATAACACATCTCATAATAGCATAAAATAAGTCTCCACATTGTAAACCACGTACCTACCAATCAGCAAAGAGCTGTGAAGCCATGACGTCAAACTCAAGCGCCTGTCTGGGTCCCTTTTGGTACAACACAACAGTAAACAAAGCGTCGAGATGGATGTAGATGAAGCCATACTTTCTGTGTTGGCAACGATTCCCGAGATTGAGGATTTTTAAAGCCGGAACAAAGAGAATGTTTGGTGCATTTTATAAAGGGGAAAGACTAGGGCTGGGTATCATTGAGAAGTTGCCAATACGATACATACCTCGATACATAAACCACAATACAATACATATCTCAATACAGTGAGCTTACGATTTGATACAATTCAATATGATATAGTTCAAATCGATTCAATACGGTTCAATAAAAATCAATGGCTAAATTATGGCTGTGATACAAAAGTCTTTGTGAAATCACTTCTTTTGCAAAGTTCATATGAAGCACAGTGAATATGTCAAATGTGTTGCATAAATGAGTTTCCTACCTCTAAACAAGCAACAAAACTGTAGCTGTAACAAAATAATTTAGTAAAATATACAAAAAAATACTCTTGGCGATATATCAATACAGCAGCCCACAATATCAATACTGTATCATCCCATTAAACGATGTGATATGTCAATATTTCGATATTTTTGCACACCCCTAGGAAAGACATTATTGCCCTTCTTCCTACGGGATATGGCGCATTACATACGTCACAACCAAACAGCAGCGACTGATTAAATTAAAAAAGTACCCTCCTACAGTTGAGCGAACAAATCCTAATGCTGCGAGGTCAGACGGTTTCCACAAAGTTAACCTGGCTGATGAATCAGGCTAAGAGATGTCATTGCTTCGCTTGGAATCTTCTACAATAAGGCATTAAACTAATTTATCTCTGGGAAAACGAGAAGTTAACATCAGGCCAGGTAACAGGTCAGATCTGAGTAGAGGCAAGCAGGTTCCCCTTGCAGTGGAGTTTTCATTGAAGCACTTCAGCAATTTAAACACCTGTAACTGAATATATGTAAGAAATGTTTAATGCTCTGCTCATCTCAGGTAAAGCAATAGCATCTCCATGGAGACAAGCAGATAATGGACCCAGAAAATGTACACGCTGCCCTTTTAATTGGACTGAGGCCTAATACGTCATGTCACCTGAACATACCGCATAACGAGAAGTGATTTAAATGTATTCCCACTTAAGGCCTGTAGAGGCTTTGAAAACACAAAACAATTAAACTGACAAATAAATGGATGGTACCTTTATTTCAGCTCTTAACCTGCGTCCCCAATGTTTTTCTAAACTGCTCGAATCCCGTATATCTTCTTTATGACTCAGCTGTTTAATTGGCTGCTTTTCCGCTGGTCCACTTCTGTGAGAGGAGTACCGCCCCAACCCAAGGAGAGCTCTGACAGCTTTGTGAGTCATCCT